AACCTGCTATAACAAGGAGGACCTGTTTAATAGGTCATGCATGATATAGTGCAATTAAGTAATACAGGATATGATAACAAATATTTAGCTTGTACTTGTGGATCTATGCATAATACAGTATCGGGTTCAGGAATTCATGCTTGGTGCATTATCACAAATGCATCATCTTAATGCCTTATTGGGTAATAATGCAGAAAGAATAACATAACATGTCCCTAATTAAACCACTGCAGGCGTGATGGAGCAGACACGTAATTATATCACACAGCCTCCATAAATACAGAGTTATCTGAGACGGGCACACAGCAAAATGTGAAGTTCATCATTTGTATGAGTATTTCTCACGTAATATCATTCAGCGAACATCACAATACCCGCATGCGTGTGCATGTGGGTATGGAAGGCGGCGCGGCCGTGCGGAGGTTAACGAACTGTTGCTGCGAACCCGGCAGTCACAGCTCAAAGTCGGCGGTGGCTTTCTGCGCAAGTCGTTGGTGATCAGGCCGAGACCATTAACTCACTCCCCTTGTCTGGATCGTAGCCCCAGATCTGAGCGCTCTGACCTCTGAGTCAATGCCGTCAGGAAGGGAGTTTCGCAACATTTGTGTGATCCAACAACCTTCGCACGCGCTGGCGTGCGCTAACGCCGCCTGGATACAACCGCAGACACCTACGCAGTGGTATATTGCTAATGCACCATTAGACTGATGGAGCGAACAGAATTTTACAAAGAAACGGCAATTACAACCAGACTGAAGAAAAAAATAGATTCTTGTATCGAACCGTCGGCCTGAATCGCGAAAATTTATTAAAAAAAAAATTCGCGGCGCGTCTGAATCGTGCCGTGAGCACATTGGATCAGGCTTCGTTTTTAGCCGCCGTGAGGAGTGCCGATGCAGGTTTGTGCTCTCGGCGAAGTCCCGGTGATGCATGGGGTCACGAAATGCGGGCGCGATAACGCCCCCCATGCAGTCCATTACATCAGGAGTGTGCGCGCGCGTCTCCGCCTGTACAAGTGTGCCTGCCGTTTGTGTTTGTACCGTGACCCCCGTGACCCAACGTTCATTCCTGGTCATGCGACCTGCAGCAATTGCCCAGATATTATACGGCACTGACCGCGAGGTCAATGTTGTTCCAGCGATGGCCTAAATTCATCCCAATGCATTACGTTAACGGAGCGGTGTCTCCACGCAGCCGGGGCCTCTTCTCCGACGTGCTGCACTTGCTCCGCTGTCAACGCGCAAGCCTTTGTGCATCGCGCAAAATCCATCGGCATTTCCCGAACGAGTGCATTGTGGTCCTCTCGTCTTAGGCCACTGTCGCGATGGGAGCAAACGTGACCGACTACGAGTGGCAGCGGCAGTGGTAAACAACTGTGGACCGTTTTCGCCCTTATTAGGACCCATCAGCACAGTCTAGTCACCGATGCTCACTGCTGCAAAGTCTGCCTCGTCCTGTTTCCATGATGTTTCAGTTTAGGTGCGGGTGCATTGACTGTGGGTGTCCGTACCCAACGTGTACCTGGCCAGCGTGTGTGCACATCGTGTCTCGGAGCGGCTTCAAGTACACGAGCAGCGTGTGCATCGTCTCCTTCGTAGCCTGGTTGTCACGGCAACCGCGTGCTCAGCCACCGCATAGATTAGTGTGGAGCAGTGTAGTCACTTAATGATGAATGTAAAGTGTACCATCTGCTTTCAGGTTGGAATTAAGACCCTCTGACATAATGTGATGTCACGCTCCATTTCGCTCCGTGAATTTTCTCCTCTCGCCCCTCGACGCGCACTTCGAGTTACATTTCCTCAAGTCTTCCGTGAAAAGTAGACGTTGCGGTGGGATATCACGTGGTTAAATAAAGATATCGGTCTCTCGTGTAATGAAATTATTATAATAACCATCGTGTTTGGCAAATTCCTTGTTTGTGCTCTGCGTCTCTCCCCCCTGTACTTAGTGTCCTCCCCTCCGCCTCGGCACGTTGCGTTTACTCCGGGTCACAGCCGTTCGCGCGGTGTGCGTTTTGGTAACGCGCCGTCAGTTCGAGGAGAGCATCGTTGCCCGCGTTGTACGGACCCCCCTCTAAGTGTGCCTGGGTGTGATCGTCGACAGCTCTCTCCAGCCGGTGGGGTGTGTGTGGGGGGGGGGGGGCGATGATGATGACGTTGTTGTTCGTTGCTTGCAGCGTCGGCTCGCACTCGGGAAAGGTTTCCGCGTTCATATCACAGTCGGGGGTCGGCTCGGCTCATCATCCGTGTTGGGTACGGTGGGCAGCAAAGGGCAGTGCATCAAAATGCATCTGTGCACAGTACTTCTATGCTCCCACGTTTATACCTGACCAACCCACACGGATCAGCACACGCACGGAGAGGTCAGGCCCTGTAATGGCAGTAACGTGAAAACTATTTTAATAATTAAGTTCCAAAATTAAGTTATAACACACAGCTGCTGTTAACTCGCACAGTTAGTTACATGTGGTATTAAAACTCTTTGGTTCTTTCGGTAAAGTCACGTGGGTAAAAAAAATAAAAGTAAATAGAAAATAAAAAAAGATATCACGACGTTTCTAATCGCAACACAAGCGGTCGTTCTCAGGCGGACAAAAATAATCGCCGGACCGGAAAAAATAAAAATCCAGCAATGGAACTGCTGCACCAGCCAACAGGCCCAAAGCTGGATTATTGTTTTCCTCCTGAGGACGACCGCTTGTGTTGCGATCGAAACGTGACATTTTTTATTTTATTTTTATACCTACTACGTAACTTCACCGAAAGAACCAAAGAGTTTGGATTCCTGCAGCCACGAAAGCTTCAAATCAAGATTGAAGTGGTATTAAAATAAGCACACCAACGCTGTAAAATGAAAGCACTATATTAAACAACTTAAATTACACAGATAAATAAACAATTATAATAACTAGCTAAATAAATTCCATGAATTGTACTGTTAGGTTAACTGTAATAATACCGCCTCTAAGAATAATGTATACAGCACCGTAATGTAATTATTGGATACAGAAACGGTCCACAAATAATGTATTAAATGTCCTGGAACATTATCAAACGTCGATATATTCATTTTCTCCAATATTGTTTAAAATTGCGGCGGACCGGACAATATATATGTATAACGCATGCCCTGACCGTATCTGCAACAAGCAAGCGAACGCGTCACCGACCCCTTTGAACCACGGGTTTGAAGCATCGCACATTATCGTTCAAACCTTGCCCTCGGAGTAATGGTGACGTATTCTTTTGAATCGCTGGCTGCTGTCAAGAAACGTGGCCCAAAGTTGTGAAACAAAGTCAAATGAGGAATTTGAAAGGTGTTACAAACTCAAGAGTGGCTGGGTGGCTCCATGCCAGCATCACTGGACTGACGCGTTCCTCTCCCCGACTCCCACAAGAGATGAAACCAGATTTTCATTTGGGCTGAGTTTGATGGCCTTGGTCTGCACACCATTAATTAGGATGACAATCACTTTTCTTAAAACTTACTTTTGTGTTTAAACTCGGGGTATCTTGGCAGGCTATCCAAGCATATGCACAGCTACGGTAGATCGTCATAATTTGGTAGTTAAGATGTAGCCCGAAGGAAGTTAAGGCCTTTAACAAACCGTTCAGATCATGAGGCAATATATGTTTATATATGTGTGTTAATTGTACTCCGTTCCTGCTATAGTTCACCTGAAACAACTCAAACTATCGTTATGCTTAAGTTAAAACTTGTGGCACGCATCCAAAAAAGACGTGTATATGCGTGTGTGTGTGGGGATCAGTGGCTGGGTCATGTAGCCCGCATGCCCAGCCACCGCTGCCTAAACAGCTTTTGTTCTGCCGGATAAAGGAGGCTAAACGGCCGTCGCACGGGCTAGAGAAGAGATGAAGTGATGTGGTACAAGCGGATATGGAGCTGAGTAGACTTGCCGATGACCGGTACCAGCGGTGTCAAGATCGGCCTCTGTGGAGGAGGCTCGTGAAGGACGCTACTGGGCAGTTGGAGGCAGTCGCCCTCCATCAACATCGGAGGGCGGCGGAGCGATGCTCACAACAACGAGCGGAGCGCCGGGTGGCTAAAGCACAGCAAGTTGGCACAGTAGGGGGCACAGGTCATCTCAGTCAGTCGACCCATGGCACCTGGGTCTGCCCCGTGACCTCCTATCAGTGGGCGTTCGACATTTCACGTGGCCTTACGTGCCTTGCACAAGCGCCGTGGTGATGTCACCGCCACTTAGTGGCAAGTGGCGGTTGTTGTTGGGGCGGTAGTGTAGCGGTTAGCGCTACGCTGCGCTATGAACCTGGCGACCCGAGTTCGATTCCCCCTCGCGGCCACCACCAGTGACGATTATCTGAACCGGTCCTGGGCCTCCCCTAGGTCGATTCAGCCTCAAATGAGTACCTGGTGCGGTGTGTAAACATCTCCACCGGGGAGACAGAGTGGGCTGGCAAGGTGCTGGCCATCCACCCCCTCGGCCTTTATAGGTGCTCGCCGACAGCACTTGCCCCGGCACTCTGCTAGTCTTTGTGTTTGTTCTGTGCACACATGTACGGTATATGTGCGTGATAACGGTGGTGCAGTGCACACTGCAGTATGAACTCGGCAAGCTGAATTCAGTTCCTGGCTCTAGATATAATCGGTGCCAAATGGTGTCCGATCCTGTTTTGGACCTCCACTAGGTACACTCAGCCTTAATCCTGCTGCAGGCTCGCAAAGGCGACTCTCAGTTGCAGCTCTCCCTGTATGACACAAAGTGAATGCGCTTCGGCCTACAAGCGGGCAATTTTTTGCCGGTGGGGAGCGACGTTGCTTCGTGGTTTTTCCAATTAAGCAAATTTGCAAGTAATTGATCAAATTTGTAGCATAGAGGCAAGCTCGGTGCGGTCTTATTCCTCCCGCCGGCTTGCGCTGCCAAGTCGCAGCGAGCGCTCGCAATAACCGGCGTCGCTTACGCTCCGCGCCGCGGTCGGACCGAGCTGACGTGGAGGCCTCCGTTTTGTGTCCGACCACAGAGCGCAGCGGCGGCGGCCGCGGCAGCGGCCCAGAGCCCAGTGCTGGGAAACCTTCCCCCAAATGACGGCATGCCCAGCGGACCGCTGCCGCCAGGCTTCTTCCCGGTACGCACTCCACGCACGGCACCCGCGGGGACGCGCGTCGCGTCGCTCGCTCGCGTCTCCCGAGCCCGCGTGGTCTACACCTGCTCGGGTGGCCGCGGTGTCGGCGTGACCACCCGTGGTGAAAGCTGCCAAACGTCCCAATTTGGTTGAACGCGTCGTAGGCTTTCGCGACCAATGTCCGCAATTAAGGCGGGGTTTTTTTTTTGGTTGGGTCTCGATTTTGGGGGGGGGTGGGGGGGGAGTGAGATCACGTGGTCTGTGACGTCTGAAATCCACGCGTTCCTCTTTCCGTCCCAGCGCAATTCCAAGCATGCATCTCCCCGGGCTTCTTTGCGCACTTTTCAGTTTTTGTTTATTTACTTTTGTAAGTCAACGCCCGTGTTTCTGCGTCGTGCGACGTGTCTTTGCAAGTAGCATGCACCGTTAGTTTATTTGACTAAAATGGAGGCTTTTTTTAGATGTGAAAATTGCGGCTTGCGTGCGTGCGAGCGTGCGTTTCTTTTTTACGAAATAATAATACCGATGGTAATCGTGTGTTTACAGGGCCCCCCAGGCTCACAGATGTCTCCACACGGGCACCCGGCTCCTCCCCACACTCCCAACAACCCCATAATGGGACCGCACGGACAAGTGAGGCTCCTAATGAAACCGCACACCCAGCTCTAGCGCACGTCGCGACCCGGCCGCTCGTGTTGACCTCGCTCTTCCGGCGGCTCATTGTCGCACGGTATTAAAACAAAAATTCATCGTCGATCGCAACGCATCCCAACTGTGCCGTTTGAACCACGTGGTCGACGAGGCTCATTTTGTCGTGGGAGTGATCCCACACCCAACAGCACCTACAGACATTCCATTATTACTATCACAACGATGGTGAAGGCAGACGGGGTAACTGTGCAGCCCCGGGAATTTATTGCTTCCGCCACTGCTGGCGGAAGGGCCTCCAGATCTGGAGAGCCCCTCTGGAGGGTGTTTTGGCCTTCTCTTCCGTGCAGGCCAGGCATCTTGGAAGAAGTGGGAGTACCCACAATTTACCCCACCACACATGACCCCCCCGATCAAATTACTGTGCTGCGTCCGTTTATACTGCAGGGTGGACAGAGGCAGAGGTGATTTATTCATGGCAATAAAATGAGTACTACCTTGTGGAAAAGTCCTTTGTATAGGCTGGCGCCTGTCATAGGAACGTGGAATTTCCACCACTGGCTCGGGCTCCCGGTGGTGGTGAGTGCTGTGTCATTGCTTGTTTGAGCAGAGAGACAATTTGGCTTAAATGTGTTCGTGCAGCCATTGGTGACTGACCTGAGATCAACACTTCACGACACTTCAGAACCCAGGTTGATTGTGGGCGACAGAATTCCAGATGTGAACCCAGCGTCGATCATCTCATTTGCTCCGATGCCCTGAGCCAGCCGACCGCACAGTGTCCTCGTGGCCACCGCCAAATGTTTCACCACGACATTCTTTTCAAGCTGCATGAATATTTAATTCGAAAAAGTATTATAATACGAGCATAACTATAATAACTACAAACAATACAATTGATATACATTGTTAAAAGCAGAAACTCGTAGACAGTAAAGCAAAACATGGTGAACTCAAATTAGGCCGCTGGGTATCCGAGTGTTAAAAAAACTTGCGTTTGATTCACGTTGCTTGTTAATTTCCCGCAGTCACCGACTGATTTTTCCCAGCACATTAATGTGCAAGTGTGCCCCATTGTAAGCCATGTAATATCCTGAATAGCGTCCTAAACTTCACACTTACTCAATGGCGAATGGTGAAATACAGTGTACAGTAAATGTTCTGGGTAAAAGCAGAAACACAACTGCATCTCGGCAGGGCCTCAGCTGGTCAGAATGAAAATAAATTGAGTTCCCGAAGAAGCTCCCACGGAGCTTGTCGAGCGAAACGTCGGACATCGCGCCGAACAACACGCGGCACGACCCGAGCACGCATCGGAGAGCGGTGCAGCACAACCGCAAACACCTAGGTCAGCGTTCTTCATTGCAAGGCCCGCGGGCCACTGGCGGCCCCTGGTGGCCTTTAGTGCGGCCCCTGACGTGTGGCCCCCGACATTACATAAAGAGTGACCACACCCCTCATCATCATTATCGTCGTGCTGCTGGCAAACCCCCAATGGATTTTAAATGTGGCAGTCCTCACACCGATGATGTCTTATCCGCGAAAGTGCCTCCCCCCCACCCCCTGAAAATTCGTGAACTCTGACCTACGCAGCGGTTAAATAAAGGGCATTAACTTTTTATAAATTGGCTGGTGTGTTTGTACCAAAATGAGCCCTCCGCTTGCTCTGCTTGATGCGTTTGAGCTGCTTGATGCTGTGGTTTTCGCTGCTGCCCTTTTGCCGTCAAAACAAAACGTACGCGCTCGCCCACGTGGGCTGGTATGCTGCCTGCATTGGGGGGCGACGTTGCTGCTGTTGCGTTTAATCATCCCAATAGAGTCATTTGCAAGCCATGCTTTGAGCACTGGGACGTTCGGCTGGTATCTGTTACAAGTGCGCGACTTTGTGGCTCGTGGATTACGTAACGCTTCCCAATGCGCGTTCGTCCGTGCGCGGATTAAAATCAGCAATAGGGAAGACAGCCGGTTCCAGTGCAAAACATGTTTTCGTATTTGTTTATACAGAAGTCAAATATTGCCCGAGTTTTGTCTCCAAAGTTTTGGGCAACACTTTGATAAATTTGGCCGACTTTTTTTTACAACCTAAGTCCCTAACAGCAACGCAACGTTGCCAGTTCGTTCATCTTGCATCACCTTTAGCTATTGCCCCCCCCCGCTTCCACACATACGGACGGACAAACAGAGCTAATGCTTTAAACCTTCGTTGGAAATCGTTAAAGAGGAAACACTGTAACCCCCCCCAACCCACTCACAACCCGATTGACGCATGCGCTGTTAGCAAGAATATTTGTAATACACCCTGCCCCATGAAGAAATGTGACGGCCACTGTTTCTGTACAGCGCCTTGAGGTGTGGTCGGAGCATCTCGGTATCGCCACGGTGGCTATGAGATGTTAACTACCTCACCTGGTATACAGGAGGTCGTGGGTTCGATCCCGACCCTGACACCTGCTGTCTATTTGGAGTTTGCGTGTTCTCCCTGTGGTCACGTGGATTTTTCTTTAGGTCCTCCGCGTTGACTGCTATAAATGTCCACATGATGATAAGCCACTTCGTTAAGCTATCAGTTGTGGCCAGGTCGCTTCTGAAAAAGAGCTATATAACTCAGTGGGCCTTCCCTGTTTAAATGAAAACATATTTGCAGTATTTTAAAAATAAAATCGTTTTAGTTTATTTCGACGCCGCTGTGTTTAATGCAAATTCTATCCCGTTACTTCCCGTTATGGCCACAGCATTATCCTGGCTCCTTCCATTGCCCCCAGTTGCTGATTCAGATGCATTGCACCAGACACGTGGAGGAGGCGCAAGGTTCAGGAATTGAACTCGGGTGCCGGGTCACTGCAATGATAGTGCACTGGGGCGTTGGCCGTGTAAACGTTTCACCCACTCGGTGGTTTGGTCAACGATCATGATTCAGGGCTACGGTTCAACTCAAGCGGCAACTGCTTGCTTCCTGTTGTGCTGTTTCCACTGGCATCAACGTTCCGTTCAGCATTCATTGTAAATATTTTGTTTGTATGCATATAACGGGAGCGTAAGAATACACTATACTTTAATTGATAAATGGCTGTAGTGTTTTAAATATGTTTCACGATACTGCATTGGGTAAGCGGTTCATTAGGACAGACAACGCAAACGCAACACATTTGTCAATAACATTGTGGCCCTAAAATAAAAAATAATAATATAATAGGTGACGTTTCAGGCAATGGCCCATAGCACAGATGTGTACTGTTACATACTTAATATACGCAGTACGTAAGCTTGTACTGTATGGCCATGTACTCTATATAATATATGCAGTATGTAAGCTTGTACTGTATGCTCATGTACTCTATATATAGAACGTGCACGTCTGTTGCAGACCTATGCATTAAAACAGCAACATTCGCGTCACATAAATTATAGTATATATTATTCCGTCTCCTGCGTATGGATTAGGCAATTAAAATACATACATTTTATCACTGTCATATGGCGAGACCCTTAACTATACTGCATGCCTTTGTTGCTGCATATGCTTCTAGGAGTGACGTTTCACTTGGCTTGCAAGCCCTCGCTTGCTGGGTGATGATGGCCAAGCAATCCCATCTGTAGGCGTGTGGCCCCCTCTGTTGGATTCAAGGTGGAGGGTGCAGCCCCCCCCACCCACCCTTCACTTGCTCGCTGGCGCCACTGCTGGCAGAAGAGGCCTCCCACTTGGAGGGAATTTGTCCGCTCTTCCACGCCGGCCAAAGTTGCCTTGGAATGAGTGTTCATAGCCACGTTTTATCCCACCGCACCCGGCCTGCCGATCGACTGTCTCTGGTTGGCCCATTTATGCTGCCCGGCGGAGGGGACGGAGACCGGGGAGCTTTAATAAACCTGCGCATTGAGTTTGTGAGCCCAGGCCAGACGTGTCACTTGTCGGTGCCACCCGAGGTGGCACGTAACTTGAGTGGTTGCAAATTCCTTGTGTGGCCAATAACAGTGAAATATGTTATAACTATTTGAAACGAGTGGGTTTGACAAGTAATTAACTCTTATTAATCGTATAAATATATGGGTACTGCTAAAGATGTTGATAATAATTTCTGCTCTGGCCCATGGACTAATTGGGTTAACTGCCAAGGCATTGAATCCGTGGTCTGTGGATTGCAAGTCCAGTGTGCTACCCACTACACCACTGTGGCAGTGTCCATGTATTGGATTTATAAAACACATTACAGGCAGTCCAACATTCCTTCCACGAATAATGAATTCTCCCCTCCGAGTGTCAAATATCTCTCCATAGCTGTGTGCCCAAAGCAAACCGTCATGGCCTGGCAAAGAGGCTTCACACCCAGACACATGAACAAGGAAAACGCGTTAATTAGAAGTAGCGATAATCCGTCGCGTCATTGACGGCTGGGGAAAGCTCATGAAAGGAATGAGTACGACTTGTGTTTTGACAAAAGAGTTACAGGAGAAATAAAATTTAAACTGATAACTTTCCTCCAAGTAAGATGATCCATGCGTTGAACCTTTCCACAAGGTGAAATGGGGTGTGTGTGTATATGCATTTGTGTACGCATGTTTTCAGTGTGCGTGTGTACATTCAAGTGTATGTGTGTGTGGTGAATGGCGACTCCTGGTGAAGGGGGTGGGGGGGGCGTTTGCGCACTGCACTGTGAATCCGCAGGTGTGCGTGCGAGTTTGATTTCAAACCATGGCCTTATCATCGGGCTTGTTCCACGTGGAATTTGTTATTTTGAATGGGAGGAGTAAATCGGTGAACTCGGAGAGACGTTGCGTGCCGGTGGGGGGTTGTGAGTCTTGTGGTCTGGGGAAGCCTCAGGGGCTGTAGCGACCCCGACGTCGCCCAGTTCCCGCCCTCTCGCCGCTCTTGCCGCCCCCTGCAATGATTTGACTCCAGCGCCCACGAGGCAGGTCCCACCTCCACGAGGGTGATGCGGTGCTAAAGCGCCGGGCGGGAATCACATCGCTTACCCCACGGTGACTTGTTGGTAAGTGTCATAACCACTAGACGAACATGGCCGCTTTAGACAACAACAAAAACTTGAGCCACTTTAGGAAGCAAATTATGGGTTTGTGTTTCTTTAGTTTTCGTGTCAAATGTTGCTAAATGAGATCCATTTCAAAGGGGGCGTTCCACCCCTGGTTCTCAGGCCCCATGATAGGCGAGTGCACGCCAGCAACATTTTCACATTTTACAGGTCAGTGGGAAACGCTTCCCTGGCTTCAAGAGAAATGCGTTGTTCAGTGAATTGCGTTGACAGGTGTTCTGAATCCTGCAACCCTGAGATATAGCGCTTCACCTGGATCTGTGGGTTTAATATTGATTCAGGGTTTCTGGATGTTAAGCCACTCTTCATCGTCATTATCATCAGTCACGTTCAATCCGCTGCCGGATGAAGAACTCCCCAAGTCATCACCGTATCACCGCGTGGGGAGGCCTTCATCCAGCGGTGGGTTGACAGTGGGCTGTAAATTATTATTTTTAATTTATACGCAAATATGTGTGAAGACACAAAATCTTACTTTGTGTACATCTCCATATATATAAAAGGGAAAGTTGTGAATATGTGTGTCTGTTCAAAATGTTTAGCGTACTTCCCGACATGCAACAAACTGGAAATTTGCCATGTGGGTACTTTCCAGACGGTACACCATGCAAAAATTATTAAAATACACTTTTGGTTTTTTTTGGGGGGGGGAGCTCAATAATGTATATATTTTTTGCACGGCAAGTGAGCTGTGACGTCAAATCTGTCACGTGACCCGCGCGTGTGGAAGCGTAACGCATTGTAGTGTAGCGGTTAGCGCGCTGTGTGTATCTGTGTGTGTCTGTGTGTGTGTCTGTGTGTATCTGTGTCTGTGTGTGTCTGTGTGTATCTGTGTCTGTGTGTGGAAGCGTAACGCATTGTAGTGTAGCGGTTAGCGCGCCGCGCTACGAATCCGGCGACCCGAGTTCGATTCCCGCTCACGGCCACCACCGGTGACGATTATTTCAACCGGTCCTGGGCCTCCCCTAGGTCGACTCAGCCTCAAACGAGCAACTGCTGTGGTGTGTGAACATCGTCACTGGGGAGACAAAGGCGGCCGGGTGTGGTGAATCCAAGTCCTGGGCGAAGCCGGGTAGTACAGCTAGTATCTCATAACCTGAACTAGTATGTCGTAGCAATGAGGTCAAGGCCTGAAAGTGACTCCGTATTTCCCTCTGTGTTGGCAATGCTCACTCTTACAACACTAATTTGGGAGGTTGGACCGATGGATCAGTTGATTCCTCAAGCATCAGTTGTAGCCTCTCTAGGGGTTCGATGGAGCTCCCTCCATTGGAGGTCTTTCCACCACGAGTACCACGGACAAGCATTTTCAGGGCTGCAACATTTATCTTTACTGTATTGGCATTACAGCAACTGTTTTCAATGGAGGGTGGTGGATTTTGCGTGCGTTGGTTTTCTCCTGGCACTCCGAGTTCCTCCTGCGTGGAGAAACGATGAAAGCGGAATTCACGTTGCACTCCATGAAGACCCCTTCATTCAAGGCTCTCCAGAGAGCATTGGCGAGAGTCTTGTGGGGAAATACGTACTCTTGTTATAATTGATCGTGCTGCTGCTGCTGCTGTGTGTGTGTGTGTGTGCTCGTGTGTTCCAGCCGTTCATGTCTCCTCGGTACCCAGGAGGACCCAGAGCACACCACAGGATGCCTGGTCAAGTAAGAGAGGCTGCTTCTCACGACGTGCTCTGTCTGGACTTGTCCTGGTTAGAGGCTGCTAGAAAGTAGTGTTAATTGAGGTGTCACGTTTAATTAATTTAGTCGTAGCATTAGTCTAGCCGACGACAATCTGTCACGTGCTAGTCAAGTCTTAGGCCACCCGTATTCTTCGTCATGGCTCGGCTCAGGCCGGGCTCTGGCTCAAGGGAGCTGGCTCAAGAGAGCTGGCTCAAACAGGATTTTCATGAGCTGTACTATAATGATCATAATAAGTTTAGACAACATTGACTAAATTCTCTAGACCACGGTAGACCTGGGTTAAACAAGCACCAGCATAGCAATTATGAATGCCACAATCCCCTTATACAATCCATTGTAGTGCGTTAGATGAATTATCTTTAGTTTTGCAGCTGTAGGTACCGTGGCTTGTGGACGTGTGGAACCGGTGCCAGAGGGACAAACCCGGCAGAAATAAATCTGGACAAAAAAATTAAATGGCACCTTTGCCTCTACGCCTTTGATCACATTTACTTAGATTAGCGGAAAGTCAGGTGGATAGCTCGACTGAAACACATACCGTTGGCAGATTTCCCCATCGTTGTTACTGGAAAATTCTCGATTTATTTTTGGGTTTTTTTGTACTTTACAAGAATTGCGTTAAAAGCAGTCACCAACAAGAAGTGCATCACGTTTATTTCTGTCACAGCCTCCAGGTGCTGTCGCAGGCCCGCAGACTCTCCTTCCCAACAACATGGACCCCATCAGGAACCCAGGTGAGCGGCTGGGCAGAGACGAGAGTGTGGGAGAGGGACACGCAGGGGAGAGAGACGGGAAGTCTGTGTACGCGGACGGAGGGGAGAGAGGACACTGGACAGAAAACCATGCAGGGAGGGCAATGAAGATTAAAGTTGAGAAGAAAGGGGAAGGAAATTATAGGAAGAGGGAGAAGTTGGTGAGGGAATAGGGTGGAAATGTTGTGGGAGAGAGATACAGAACACTCCGTTTCGTATTATTGGAAACGTCCGTGGCAGGTATTGTGTGTCCTCTCTGGAGTGGTATTCTGAGCTTACGAGTGCATTTTACCATGAAAATACAATTCTTCACTGGACATTCGTCCATTGGTGGCCACGTGTGGGTAGTAGTGTAGTGGTTAGCGCACTGCCCTACGAACCCGGCGACCCTGGTTCATTACCCACTCACGGCCACCACCGGTGACGATTGACTGAACCGGTCCTGGGCCTTCCCTAGGTTGACTCAGCCTCAAATGAGCACCTGGTGTAGTGTGTAAACATTGCCACTGGGGAGACAGCGGCGCCTGGGCTTGGTACTGGTCACCCACCCCCTCATGTGCCGTGCCGGCCTTCATAGGTGGTCACGAATAGCACTTGCCCCTACACTCAATGTAGGCTATACGAGTGATCTTTGTATTTTGGGTTGCGCTGTGGTTAGGAGACCTTCTACGAAGCTGGCAAACTGAGTGTAATTCCCAACCACTGCTAACAGTAGCAAGTATGTGAACCATTTGTGAGCCTCTCCTAGGTCGACTCGGCATTAAATGAGTACCTGATGCGATGTGCAAACATCAGGACTGATGAGACAAACGTGGCCAGGCATGGTGCTGCCCACACCACCCCTCCTGTGTGCTGTGCTGGTCTTTTAAGAGGTGCTCACGAACAGCACAAGGCCCTATGATGTGTAAGGCTAAATGGAGGTGTCTGCCTCTCTATTTGTTTTGTCACAAAGCCATGCTGACGTCAATTACAAACTTGGCAACTGGCGCCGGGTGTTTGGCCAGCGGTGTGCGAGTGCACACGTTGAGTCTGCCAATGTGCACGGAGGCGTGTGTACACACCGGCTCGCGCTCATTTAATTAGCGCACGCGCATTTGTGTACGTTAGTGGAAGGGGACGGAACGCGTCCGAGTGGACGCGCGTCACCCAGGGAGATGGAGCGATGAAATCGGCTCGAGGTGGAGGCATCAGGTCGCCTGTTGCACCGCAGGATCGTGAGAGATGGCGGCGGCATTCATCCAGCAGTGGATTGATCGTAGCTGACGACGATCATGGGAAGGGAAAGTAATGGCGAAGTTCTAAAACAGGTTTGGGTAGAGAGAAATTCTAAAGGCAAACAGTGTGGATTGATTTTTGAAGGAAGTTCTTAACGGAAGGATTCTGGCATGAGAGGCAGAAAAAGAAATGTACTGCTTGGAAACTCGAAGGAAGCGGAAGCTGGACAGGGGAATGAAGATGATGGCTGAAGATAAGATATGATGGAGGGAGTTTAAGCCAAGCACCTGCTGTTGGGCAGAGGACTAAAGAGATAGCTATCACACACGCACACACAGCGCCCTACATTCTCAGTGACCTGGGTTCTATTCCTGCATGCACGCCGTGACATTTGGTATCTAAACCTGGCCTCGAACTCCGCTGGGTCGGTGCACTTTAAATTGTATATCTGGTGTAGTGGGTGAGTGTATTGAAATCTACACAAAGGTGGTGTTTGTACTCTGCGTGTGTCTCCGTGTGGACTGCCGCTGTCCGCAGGTCACCCTGTGATGGGAGGCCCCCTGCAAAGGATTGGAGGGCCACGTGGGATGGGACCGATGGGGCCTCAGGTATGGGACATAACAAGTTTTGTTTGACTTTGTGTCGCTATTACATTGTAATTGTGCTCCTGACATCATGCAATGAGATAAATACATTCCCATTTCGAGGTCTGTAGTGAGCGTTTGTATAATGTACTAGCAGGAAATACCCGGCGTTGCCCGGGTACTTGCGGCTATCTTTTCTGAATGTAGAGTGGCCCAATCACTGTATTCAGAAGGGGTCCATGGCGTTACAGCAACTGTTACGATGTTGCTGTACCATGGGGGCCTGTCATAAATGTAATGTAACGTGCCACAATGGGGGTACGGAATTATATAGTGAAACTTTTTTTGAAGCGTCAATGCCGTTTGTTTGTCTCGCATGGAAAGACGATGGGCAAGCTCACCGTGGCTGACCGCTAATTGGAATCACCAACGGTGTTTTTTGGTGATCAATCAATGGCAATTTTAGATTAGCTTTATGAGGAGGAGGGGTCGTTATTTAACTGTTAGATGTGCAGGGCCAGGTTATTGTGTGCTGAGTTAGGGATGGTGATGTCACTGGGAGCGTGTGGGGAGCCGTTTGGGGGGCTCCGGGCCCATCCAGTATAAAAATGTCAGCTCGCCATGTAGCTAAGGTTTTCCGCGTGGTTTTAAAAGGTAGCGCTGCCAAGTATGGTGGCGGTAGCTTCAAGGTGTGGATTTGTATTTGGAACAGACAGACAGACTTTCATTTTTTATATATATAATAGATACAAAATGTACACTGTGCATACAAAAATAACCGTTATGTATTTCTTTGCAGGGTTACGGACCAGGAATGAGGCCTCCTCACAATTCGTTGGGAGGCCCTGGGATGCCAGGACTTCCCTTGTAAGCAACACCCAATTTCAATTAACAGCCCTTTCTTTTCGTGCCCTGACAGGCGGTTAGAGGGCCCGAGTACAGACCGACTTAAGCAATTCAAAAAATTGCGTAAGCTGATGCTTGTGGTAACTCCTGATCCCATAAGCGAGTCAAGACAGTTAAGCTTTGTAAAATTAGGAGAGAATCATTGGGCGGTCAGGACCCGTCATTCTTACATCGATGGTCCAAAAGCAAAGTAAACTAATTGTTAGTGAAATTATATAATTATTGGCACTATTACTCATAATAACATTAAATAAACATGAATCACCCCAGCCACTGACCGGCTTCCCACGCACAGTGATGATGTCAGAGGCGCCATGTTGCGTGAGTGAATTCGTGGTGGCCATGTTTCATGGACTTTGATTGGCTGCTGCAGTGGGAGTGATGACGCAATCCATAGCAACTTCTGACATCCCCCTCAATATGCAATCTTACTATGGCTGTAAATCACCCACACACTCACCACACTGCAGGTCACCACACTTTTCTCTCTGCTTCTTTCCTCCCTCGCACACTGCTCCACTTTGGATTTCCTCTGCCATCATCTATTTGGTCGAGGCTCTTATAACCCTGCTGAATTCAAGAAACGTGTTACACCCTTCCCTCTTAAATCTTTGATGGTACTGTTTGTTGTTGAACCTTTGGACCTGTGCTCAACAACTGCGTTTAAGAAAATGCTCTAAAAAAAGTGCATAGCGGCATTGTATTGTCCATGTGGTCACCATTGGCGCTGCTGGTGTCCTATGGAGGTGAGCACCATAAGTGCACTGCGTAACGTTGAGCCGCGTCGCATGGGAGAGTGGATGCGTCAGTCGGTTCATCGTTAATGCCAATGTTCAATGCTCACAATTCATGCGTCCGGCGGCCTGTTCAAGAATCGACCTTTTGTTTAATTTCGTGCAAATTGTATGCAAGTGACATGCAAATATCACGCGAGGCAACTGGAGCAAACACAAACTACGTATGAGATAAGAGAATCCAAACGGGACACACAAGGTGAAAGGATTGATCATTGAATAGAATTGTTACCCATGATTTGCGACAATTCCTCGACCTTCCGCGAGATGAATTATGACACTCCTCATGCACGGGGACTAACGTGTTGACGCTGCTGCCCATTGGGAGCTGGGAGGGAATTTACACCGTGGAAGTGACATTAATTATTCTGTTCCATGCAGAGTCCCAGGTGGTCGACCGTGGCCCAACCCAAACTCAGTAAGTCATGTTTTACTCTTGACGCATTTAACCACATGTCCCGATTGTGATATTGGCATCCAGGCAAAGGACAAATCACTTTTGCTCTCCAGAACCTCCCCACAGACCACAGAGCTGTCTCATCACATGACCTGACATTTACGTCTCCTCCAAAAACATTGTTTAAAATAATTAACGCACGAGCGTGGTTGATGGCATGCGTGCGGATGGGTGTCCACAGCGCAACAATCAAAGAGTCTGATGTGCTTGTCGGTACAGTGTATGGAATGATGAGAGATTAATTTTGATGAATAATGGGCGCGTAGGTAAAAACAACTTCTTGGAAATGCAGCATCACGGGAAATCCCCAGAGCATTATGGCTTGGCTACAAGGTTAAACATCTAAAGTATGACATCTTAAATATTACAGCGTAAGCAAAAAAAAACCTGCCACTGCTTATCAACGCTGCGATGTTTGGTTGCTCTACTGTCACATTATACCAAAGGGTTTTTATAATATAATAATAATAAAGTCAATGGTGTATTTCACAGAGCCTCGGTGAGTCTAAAGACCTTTATTTCAGGAGGGTCCTGCATCTGCACCATTTGGTCAATGCTGTTTCCGAGTGGTGTTATGTAAAACAGTCCACGCTTCCTGTGAGTTGTGTTGTCCGTGGTTATTGATGAATTACCTTGTTGATGAGACAGCTTGTCAAACGCACACATGATGAGATCCGTTGTCATGCAATTTGATTCATAACATGTTTCTATATCTGCAGATTCCTTATTCTGTGCCCTCACCTGGAAACTACGGGGTAGGTGTTCTTATTTTATGTAATAATTTCCAGATGCATATATAAACCGTGATTTGAAAAAAACCCACTGTATAATCAAGAGAACGTTCATTTAACAGAGCTATCCTGGCCGTTGATTGCAGATGTACAACGAATTTCCTCATCAACATGCTCATATTATTGATGTGTGTCATCTATAAAGAGGTCCGTGTTGTGTTCATTGGGGTCAACTTCAGTTCCACAATGCAGGGGTGAACAAGGAGAGTTTCACCATCGGGCTACTCCTTCGCCCCCACTCTTTCATGTCTCAACTCTTTCTTTGCTTAAATCGTTTCATGTATTCGCGTACTTATTTGTACGATTATTTGACATGGTTGGGAGAGGGGTGTGGTGGCACAGTGGCTAGAGGCGTGTGAATTGACACCTTTGCAGTGCCGTTTGGTTCATTGTATGATCATGAAGGTGTTTGCGTTTAACTTGCAAGGCCCATCGCATTCATACACCCGCTTCGTCATCCACCTACCTCTGTGTTCACGTAGCCGCTTTGACACTCACCGAGGTGTCTCGTTTTCTTTTCCTTCCCTCCCGCGGAATGCATTTCCATCAGGGTCCCCCTGGCAGTGGCCCACCAGGAACTCCCATCATGCCCAGCCCAGGAGGTACGGCCGAGCGTGTCCGTCACCCCCGGAGTTGAGCGCGCACGTGTGTGGATCATGACGCACGATGCCACGCGGAGATTTTAAATCTGCGCGTCCAGGGCAGCGAACGGTGTAGCTCATCGGTGTGGAGTCTGTTCCTTACCCATCGGCGAAGAGGAGACTTGCACGTAACCTTTGGCGGGCCCACACGTCAACACCAACCTCGGCGCCGTTCAGTGATAACGTCAAAAACTATGAGGGCTCACCTTGACCTCACTGATGTGGTGCTTGCGTCCGCTTTTCTCGCACCAACGCCTGGATGTGAGCATTTCCCTCTAGTACCCAATTAGTACCAGCTGAGATACTTGCAATAATGTACAAATAGCTTTTGCTGACCGCTCCAAAGCGGTAGGCCTCGTGTGGCTGCGGGGCCGTACCTTCAGTGGCACGGCGGTCTTAGCCCATGGAGATAAAACTAAAAACTGAAATATTTTTTATTTTACAAGGTAAGACCCACTGAGCTCTATGGCTCTTTTTCAGGAGCGACCTGGTCACAAATGATGGTTCAACGAAGTGGCTTGTCACGTGGAAATGTATAGCAGCCAAATACTCTAAACGCGTGTGGAGGGAAAAACCGGAGGACCTGGAGAGGCAGCTAACACCTCGCCAACTGTGATGTCCATGACACGCGGTATTCGTTCAGAGCCCCAGCTTTCCAGGCGTGACGCTTCGCACGTGCGGGAGTCTCGCGGAGGAGGAGCGACGTATGAGATTGGCGACCGAGAGTCGAAAGCTGAGAGTCAAAAGGGAAACGTCACACGATGCTCGCTTGTGGAAGAGTTCCCGCAGCCGTGCGGGGGGTGTTCGTGCTTGTGCAGGGGAACCGTGCCGTGCCCGGGCCTGTGGCCCGCCTGCTCTTCGTCGCGTTGATGTCGGTTTTCTATTTTTAAAAGTTTCTCTTCTTCACCCCGAGAGGGCACTCACGAGCAGCTGTGCCAGAGAGTAAGAAACGAAGCTTGATAAGCGAAGCTGGCAGACGGGCAGGCAGAGAGCAAATCTGTCTCATGCACACCTGATGAGAGTGCAGTCCAGTGGATGTGCTGAGATAGGACGTTTGATCTCGATTTGCGAAAAGCTATTTCATGTTTCCTAAGGGAAAGACACCTGAGCTACAACCAACCTCCTGAAACAACGCAATACAATACAGTTTGTAGTCTCAGTGTGCGTGTTGATGAACGTGTGTGTTCTTGTTCACAGATTCTAACTCGAGCGACATGTACACCATGATGAATCCCGTGCAGCCAGGGAATCGGCCAAACGTGAGTCTCGTGCTTTGGAGCTTTCCAACGGAAGTTGGGCGGTCACCTGGGCAGTCACCTGGGCAGTCATCTGGGCAATCACCTGGGCAGTCGAATTGGCCACGTTCTGTTGACGTGACAACCTTTACTAGTTGGCTGTGTCGGGTGGTGGCGGGTTTAACGACACATTTATACATTTACACAATCTACCCCATAAAAACCTGTATTTTGAACGTTTCTAAAACCAACTGAGTAGCGGAAAGTGTACACGTCCTTCCAATAACCGTACCCTACATACAAACCTGTCAAATAAATGCACTTAAGACACAGTGAAGAAGTGTTCAATCCATATAAGATACCCACGATAAATTAAATCAAATTATTTTAAATTATAACCAGGATGCCATGAACAAAAATGCATTACTCAGAGAGCATGATGGTACCAATGGCTCTTAAAGTGAAATAATTGTTATATTTAGGAAAATGGTCGGTTACTTTACGGGTAAAAACAGTAATTTTGATTGGAATGAGTATTTGTTTTCTTACTTCCGGATAGAACTTCATTGTGTGGTCTGTGTGTGTCTCCATGCCGCGTGTCTCCATGCCGCGTGTCTCCATGCCGCGTGTCTCCATGCCGCGTGTCTCCATGCCGTGTGTCTCCATGCCGCGTGTCTCCATGCCGCGTGTCTCCATGCCGTGTTTCTCCATGCCGTGTGTCTCCATGCCGCGTGTCTCCATGCCGCGTGTCTCCATGCCGCGTGTCTCTGTGCCGTGTTTCTCCATGCCGCGTGTCTCCATGCTGTGTTTCTCCATGCCGCGTGTCTCCATGCCGCGTGTCTCCATGCCGCGTGTCTCCGTGCCGCGTGTCTCCGTGCCGCGTGTCTCCGTGCCGCGTGTCTCCGTGCCGCGTGTCTCCATGCCGCGTGTCTCCATGCTGCCTGTCTCCATGCCGCGTGTCTCCATGCCGTGTTTCTCCATGCCGCGTGTCTCCATGCCGTGTGTCTCCATGCCGCGTGTCTCCATGCCGCGTGTCTCCATTCCGCGTGTCTCCATGCCGTGTGTCTCCATGCCGCGTGTCTCCATGCCGCGTGTCTCCATTCCGCGTGTCTCCATGCCGCGTGTCTCCATGCCGCGTGTCTCCATGCCGCGTGTCTCCATGCCGCGTGTCTCCATGCCGTGTGTCTCCATGCCGTGTGTCTCCATGCCGCGTGTCTCCATGCTGTGTTTCTCCATGCCACGTGTCTCCATGCCGTGTGTCTCCATGCCGCGTGTCTCCATGCCGCGTGTCTCCATGCCGCGTGTCTCCATGCCGCGTGTCTCCATGCCGCGTGTCTCCGTGCCGCGTCCCACAGTTCCCCATTGGTCCCGGCCCGGAGGGGCCGATGGGCTCCATGCCTGGAATGGGCCCCATGGAACCCCATCACATGAACGGCTCCATAGGTGGGTCCCGCACAAGAGATTGGGGATTGTAAAGGTGGAGATGAGAGAGTGGGGATGGGAAATTGCGTGCTGTGATGTAAATTCAGCCTAAATGATTATTTTTGCCAAACTTTTCAACACTCGCAACGGATAGAAAAATCTGACCACGTGTGCTTACTGACTGCCCCATGATGTGCTTGTATCGTATTTTATATTTTAGATAAACAAGTACTGTACAATTTGTATGTATTTGGTGATGACATCTTTGTTATATATATATAATTTAACTATTTTAACGATTCAAGTTACAACGATTCTTCCCTTGTTTCCGCCAGCGATGTGATGAATTGTCACGATTCAGGGCTGTGATTTTATTTTAATAATCTAGATTTGGTATTTTTTTTATTGTGAAGAATTTAGCAGCCACTGGTGGCTGCGTGCGTCACAAACAAACACGAATCGAAAAAAATAATAATCAGTTCCATCGGTTCCTGCGTTGCTCGATGTGTGTATGTTGAACTTTTGCACCGTACGTAGCCAACCGTGCTAATCGGAGGTGCGGGGGAAGGACAACAATGTGTGCATCAAGAGACCCTGAGACATCGATATGAACGGATGAAACGATGCATTGTTACATTAACAGTAGGGCTCCTGCTAATTTTATTTGTTTGCTTGTGCTGTTAGGTTCTGGTGAAATGGATGGAATTCCCAAGGTGGGCCGAGTGCACACGTTCATTTCCTTTGATTGGTTTCTCACAAAGTGACGTAGGGACTTGTGTAACGCACACAAAGTGCAGGAGGAGGAGGTGCCGCAGAAGAATCACACGAAACCATGTGACATGGCGCAGTGTAACGACGGGAGGCCTGACTTAAGTGACTGAACGTGCGCTACTACACCGGCACGTCAGCATGTTGCGTCGATGACAGCTGTGCACCCTCAGCCACCCGACACAGCCAAACAAACCACCTGGACACAGGAGCCAAGGAAGGGGTCCTACCGTGCGTTGTTCGGCACGATGTCCGACGTTTCGCTCCACGTGCTGGGAGCTTCTTCAGGAACCGGGTTCCTGAAGAAGCCGCAGTTAGCTTATCGGCAGCTCATGTTTGATGGTGTGAAGTGTGGGTACGCCCACTTCTTCCAACACGTTTGGTCAATGTGAAAGAATAGAACGAATGCCCTTGAGAGTTCACTGTAGCGGAGGCTTTTCTGCCAGCGGTGGCATGAGCGAGCAGTTGCAGGGCTGCCCCTTTGACCTTTCACCTAATCGCGTGCGGGTTATTCGACATCGCGATGTGCGGCTCTGCCATCTTAGTCTTGAAAACAGATGATGCATCTGTCAATTATATCTCTTGTTTTTTTAATATTTCCTTTGTTTTTAAAGAACTCGCCAAACAACCTCAGCAACCAGCCCGGGACGCCACGGGAAGAGGGTGAGATCCCTGCGGGATTCCTCAACGCCTTTCAGAACGACGGAGTGAGTGTCCCACCGTAATCCTCTTCGTGCGTACTCTCGGTACAGTGGGCCTGGGCGATCTATACAGTGTCCCGGTAATCAGTCCGCCGACTATAACAATTGCTAGCTATGTGACAATGCATTGATTCATCGATTAAAATCTTTAATGCTAGCGATACGTGCATAGAATCGTGTGTGTGTGTGTGAGAATCTTACCATTTTTCGAATTGTTTTTATTGTATGTTCTGGGGTCACATGACCCCTACAGCCACTAGGGGTGCTACATTCAGCACAATGTTAAACCCGAATCATGACAATTCATCGAGATATGAGGGGCTGAAGAGTCACACGCCTCCTGTACCTTATCATGGCTGACGTGTCGCTTCAAAGGCAACATTGAAATGTTCATATCGGGGTGCAAAACTTCGTCGGTGGCGTTGAAAACATTTTGTCCAAATGTCCGCTCCCTCTGCCGACCCGCACCTCCCCCTGCCCTTACTGCGAACGCCCAGGACCAGAATGAGTCGGCTGCTATTTTGAAAATCAAGGAGAGCATGCAGGAGGAGGCGAAGAGATTTGAAAAGGAGCCCGGAGACCACGCAGACTTCACCTTCATGCAATAAACAAAACAGATCTACATATATATATACATACACACACAAACGGGAAACAGAGAAAACACACACAACACGCAGAAGATAACAAATGTATGGACCAAGGCGTTCACAGGCCTGTGTGCGCGAGGCGCTCAAGGGAGCGCGTGTGTTCGTGTCATCTCTGTGGGCAGCACTAGTCTGTCTAGTCTTGAGGTGGGTAAACGTTCCCGATTCACGAAGGGACTTTTACCACAGAAAATACAAAAAAAAAACCCCTGAACTCGTTCGCTGCATTTAACGCAACGTTCTTAATCCGAGTAAATGTTTTTTTTTATTTTTTCGTGAGTGTTTCAGTAACGATTTGCCTTGCAGCTTCGTGTCTTCGATGGAGTATATAACAGGAAATACATACATATATATTTTTGTTGTTGTTTTCGTGGGGAGAAAGTGGGTGCAGTGTACGTTATCGTCCAACGTGGGGAGGGACAGAATCGTAACGGAGATGGTTTTGACGTAGGGGAGCCAAACCCAGGCACTGTTGTTGTCCTCCGTTATCCTTCATGCGCAAGGGACGCTGTGTAGTTGGCACTGTACATTTTTTTACGTGAAAAAAAAAACGATGGGACGGTTATCGATGGATTGTTTTACGTCCACCAAACGTTTGCAAACAACTGTGTGATGTTGTTATCGTCAATTTCTTCCCTTTGTGGTATCGGAGAACGTAAGATGTACTTTGTGTACATTTGGTACGTACATGTGGATTTGTGCGTATGTATTTGTGTGTGTGTGCGCGCGTGTACCTCTGTGTGTATACGTGTGTGTATGCATGTATGAGGCTAAGAATTTATATCTATCTCAAAACATGTTTCCATTTCCACACAGTTTATCCCAAAGCTTTATTAGCAGCTCCCTTCCATTTGATTATGAAACACGTGGGTTGTTTAGTTTTTTTATTTATTAATCACGTTTTAAATGTGCTTATGAACGTTGGGCTCAATCTGTGATCACAACAATTGATTCCGAGAGGTTTCATTGCCCTCTCTACCTCGAGCGTGATGGCTTATGGTGTCTAATCCACGAGGCCTTTTTTTGTGTGTGGGAACGTTGAATTTGACCACCAGTGTTTCTACAGTGATGTTAAAGGTCTTAGTCTCTGTTGTGTACTCATCGAATACTGCACACTCTGGACAAGAGATGTACATCGGGTTGCACATCGTAAACGTGGAATATCCCCACGGAGCAGAGGGCATGCGCATGCACAGCGGCCTAATTTGGCCACAAGACAAATGACCGCACCTTCCAGGCAGATTTTAAGCCAGAATAATGTTTATATTATTTATTTTTAGTGATAAATATATATAGGGCATCTGTTTTTGTTATTTCGTTCCATTTTCACTCTTGGCGTCCTATCATGAAATGTAGTGTCCGTTCGGAACTCATGCAGAGCAATCGAATGTCCCGTGGAAGGTGATATCACAAAACGACTACAGAGGTCTTATAAAGTGACCTCTGATCAACACCAGGGACGCAGCACTCCCCCCTCCACCCTCATTGTATGATAGTCAACCAGACATTGTTATTATATTTGGCAAATCACGTGAAAATACACATAGCATATATTGCTTATTTTGTGTGCAGTCATTGAAGTTAGGGGCTGAGACCATCGACTCACAACAGTTGAGAACCTGGCTTGGATTCGAACCCAGGCGCGTGGTGGTGTGAGCCACAGTGCCCTGACCTCTGCGCCACCCGGGCCGGCCACTGAGGTGGCTGCCTCGTAGGGCCACTGTTGTGTTGTGCTGCCCGTGCGCACAATTTGTGTTGTGTTGTGCTGCCCGTGCCCACAATTTGGCCAAGAAGGTGTCGCCGGTTGTTCGTGCCGTTGAGCGGTGTGACCGTAATATCTCTCGCCCCGGTGTGTGCATTATTTAATATCGGGTTGGTGGGGATTTTCACCAGCAGCAGAGAGAGACGTTTTGGTTGGCCAATTCGACCAGGTTTTGAAATAAATACGAAAACATTGCTGTGGTACGTTCACCTTCTGCAAGGTGGACCCTAGTCCTGCGTCCACGTTGTTGGAAGTGCTGGAGAGTGGAATTGGAACGCGGGGGTATAAACACGGGCGAGGTGCTGCTCTGCGTTATTCCGCGGTGAATTGGTCGGCACCTTGAGCTGCTGCGCCGTGAAATGTGGCGACAGTTTTAGTTCCAAGTGAAAGGTTCCAACAATCTGCCAAGCTGTGTACAGCAGAAGGACTTATCATTTATTTTTGTTGATAATAGGCAATAGCTTGCTTTAGGAAGTTCACTTAAAATGTAACTAAGTTGTTGAGCGTGCGTCATTGTCGACTTATGTAATTGAGCTTTGCTGAATGTTTTTGTTGTATAGTTTCGATCGATAATTGGATAGTCGACATCACAAGTTTGTTCACACTTAAGAAGCCACTTTTTTCCGACAGCAGGTCCTACAAACCAAATCCAGAAACGCAGTCCGTGATGGCACGCGGTAATTCCACCCAACATTTACGAGTATACGACTGGCATTTTAATAATATTTGTAACAGCGGCCGAGCTCGCTTCAGATACCACAACTCTTATCAAAGGGAAAACTATGAGGCCCTATTTTTAATTTAATGACATTCTCAGTATACTGTATCGACATGAAGTACTGCATACCGTATTTGAAGCTGTCAAAACATTGTAAAAGAATGGTATTAGCCATACCCATCGATTCACACATTTCACATTATCATAGTATTGTAGGCAGTGACTTGAGTAGTATTACAGATATTCTGTTGTACGGTTCATTGCGGAATTGCAAAATATCTTTAGTTTGGACCACCCTCGAACAATGCATTTTTAGCGCTCCTGTTGTCCGCCGTGATGTGGGAGACACATCGCAAGCCCCTACTATTATTATTATTATTATCCGCAAGGTTATCCGCGAATTTGCTGCACTTATTTGTGGAGAGAGAAAAAAATCACGGATAACAGGATGAATAGACACACGGTTAGTAAGAGTTTTGGCGGACCCTACAGCTCCCGGGGATAATTGGAGTCGCGTGTGATAGGGTCACGGATAAGAGGAGCACTGCTGTTTACCACAGTATACCACGGTATGCACACATTGTGGAAGTGTGTTTGTGAGGGGCGGTTAAAATGTTTTGATAACCAGTTACGGTACTTAGATTTGAAAAAAATGTCACATCAACACAATACCAAGCCGTTAATCGAAGCCTAATTAAAATAGGAATGCTATTCAACGATCACTGTATGGGCCAGTATGTTAGCCTGGGTTGTCTAATTCTCGCTGTCACACACACGTCAACTTCAATATCCTCTTCCCAAAATGTTTTGTCCGTTCGTGGTTTGTAAAGTGTACATATAATGTTGATTTGTCGCTCTCATTGAATCGTTTTGCTGATATCCTTACTCTAGATAATGATGATTTCAGGAATAGTACAATTTCTGATATGCATTTTATTCAAAAGTATTAAAGACAGATTTTTGAAGGTTGATTTCGGTGATAAATTATCGGCTCGGTTAATATAAACGATGAAAGCGGTTCGAACCAAACTATGAATTTCATGCAAATTAAAGTTACGATCACTAATTTAAGATAGTTTCTACCATTGATAAGTCATAAAATCACTTCAGTTATTTAACGTATTAATTAATTTGCTGTTATACGACGCTGTAATTGTTAGAATTGTTTTGTTCAGTGTCTGTTTAATTCTTGGTATATATTTTTTTAAATTTATTTGCTGATTGAATTTCCATGGCCGTTATGAATATATAATTCGTAATACAGTCAATCTGTTCTGACCAACGGTATCAGTCCACTTGCCTTTAGGTTGGTTGCTTTGCTCTGTCAATATTCGATGAGGTAATGGTTATTAACCACAGCAATATTACGAAAAAGTCGTTTACTCCAATGGCAAAAGCACAACGCGTTATTTTTCTAATATAATTTTATGACACCAGCACACTGAGTTTGTAGTTATATTTAATTGTGCTTGCCAACATTGTAATTTATTAAGTTATTGTCTAATCGAGCTAACGTCTTTAACACGTCGCATTAAACCAAGACATTAGCAGGGCTGTCCGAACTGCGCTTCGCTTCCCCGTGTAGTCGACTTGCTCTCTGCAGCGGTGCACCCAGAAGCCACGGAGAGCAAAGGCCAATTGCATTCAGTGGCACGAGGGCTGAGGGGCAAGGCCCTCTGGTGTGCATGGGGGGGTGACAGCCTTTTTATTAATTTGTGTATGCTCACCGCGCTTTCGCCGCAAAATCGAGGGTGTAACGATGGCAAGATTCGTCAATGGAAATTGATCCTCATCCCCGTGATCCACTCTCACTGTGAGTGATCATTTTAATAGATCCTATTCGGTTTGTATACGGTTTGTGCAGTGGGTTAATGTGGCCTCAGCAGCCACCAGAGGCGCTATGCGTTCGACCGCATCGTAGAGACAAGCAAAATCGTGGATTCGTTCGTGGGAATCCCAACACAGCAATGTCGAGCTGCGACATAGGAGAGAAAATGACATTTTGTATTTCCGTCATGTGTGAGTACACCTCTGGCAAACCAAACACTTACTAACTCACAAAAGGTCATTGATAACGCTGAGAAGCATGAGCTTGTCGAGCGCAGTTGTAATAAGCGAAGTGAGTAAAGTGTTACATTTATGGTTGAGCCAACTATGATGACGATGCAATCAAATCTGCTTGTCACGTGAGTCTATGGAGTCAGAGTTGCGGGTCTTCTCTTTGAAAGGCGTTCGTCAAGTTTGTATAGGGACCCCCCACCCACCCACCCAACCGTACTAATGCACAGTATTTTAAAATATCTTATAGCATCAAGCTCCTGAGGGTTATTCTTCTAATGAGCGCCATTTGGGTCAACGTTTTGGCGAGTACCTTAAAAGGGAGTGACGAAAATCTGATGGGCCAAAGGCTCCCAATTTTATTCAAACGGATGGCTGCATGGCCAGTGGCCTGGCCATTGATTTACAACTGGGTTGTATTTGAGCCGGAACGTGTCTGTGCCCAGCTATGAAATCCCAGACGTGTGGGGGTTTTTTTTTACAACGTGAGTGTTGACATCTAGTGCTTGTGATATGACGGCGATTCAACACGTTGTTGCGGCTCTACATTGAATTATTTCACAGGCTCTTCAAAATTGTTTTTGAATTGGCACTCAAGATTTGTGGGGGGGGGTTTTTTTTAACAAAGGGGTGGAGTGAATGTGATGTTATATAAAATTCATATTCTAATCAAAAGGAGTGTTTTATTTATTGGTTCCGGTTAGATCAGTGTAAAATAAACAAAGTGTTTTTGCCGTCGGAGTATCCCTTTTGGGCACTGTCGTTTTATTATTCAACTTTTTTTTTGCCCCAAATGGAAATGTAAAAGCCTCATTTCCACGCACACACCATCACATTGAAAGACAAATTGCAATGAGCCCGAATTAACTCTTAAACGGCACTTTGGACCATCGTGAAAAAAAATCCGTTTTCTTTGTAAACTGAAGATCGCGTTTCATTACAGCATCTGAACATTGGAATCCGGTGCATAGATAACACGGAAGAGTGATTTTCTTGCCATCATGGTCCATGCCTGTGTGGATAAGGCACGGGTAGCTATAGCAAAGAACCACAACATTCCTTCAGTTGTATTCTCCTAAAAGTCGCTCGGAGCAGCGTTTGGCCACCACTGTAATTGCACATCCAACGGCCTAAGGCGCAATTCCTAAACGCGTTGGTGATAATGCTGGAAGAAGGTGGAGTATTAAGTAACTTAGTTGGTGATAATGATGAAAGTAGGTGGAGTCTTAAGTAACTTAGTGATAATGCTGGAAGAAGGTGGAGTCTTAAGTAACTTAATTGGTGATAATGCTGGAAGAAGGTGGAGTCTTAAGTAACTTAGTTGGTGATAATGCTGGAAGAAGGTGGAGTATTAAGTAACTTAGTTGGTGATAATGATGAAAGAAGGTGGAGTCTTAAGTAACTTAGTTGGTGATAATGCTGAAAGGTGGAGTCTTAAGTAACTTAGTTGGTGATAATGCTGGAAGAAGGTGGAGTCTTAAGTAACTTAGTTGGTGATAATGCTGGAAGGTGGAGTCTTAAGTAACTTAGTTGGTGATAATGATGAAAGAAGGTGGAGTCTTAAGTAACTTAGTTGGTGATAATGTTGGAAGAAGGTGGAGTCTCAAGTAACTTAGTTGGTGATAATGTTGGAAGAAGGTGGAGTCTTAAGTAACTTAGTTGGTGATAATGCTGGAAGAAGGTGGAGTATTAAGTAACTTAGTTGGTGATAATGATGAAAGAAGGTGGAGTCTTAAGTAACTTAGTTGGTGATAATGTTGGAAGAAGGTGGAGTCTCAAGTAACTTAGTTGGTGATAATGTTGGAAGAAGGTGGAGTCTTAAGTAACTTAGTTGGTGATAATGTTGGAAGAAGGTGGAGTCTTAAGTAACTTAGTTGGTGATAATGCTGAAAGAAGGTGGAGTCTTAAGTAACTTAGTTGGTGATAATGCTGGAAGAAGGTCGAGTCTTAAGTAACTTAGTGATAATGCTATAAAAAGGTGGAGTCTTAAGTACCTTAGTTGGTGATAATGCTGGAAGAAGGTGGAATCTTAAGTAACTTATTTGGTGATAATGCTGGAAGAATGTGGAGTCTTAAGTAACTTAGTTGGTGATAATGATGAAAGAAGGTGGAGTCTTAAGTAACTTAGTTGGTGATAATGTTGGAAGAAGGTGGAGTCTTAAGTAACTTAGTTGGTGATAATGATGAAAGAAGGTGGAGTCTTAAGTAACTTAGTTGGTGATAATGTTGGAAGAAGGTGGAGTATTAAGTAACTTAGTGGTAATGCTATAAGAAGGTGGAGTCTTAAGTAACTTAGTTGGTGATAATGCTGGAAGAAGGTGGAGTCTTGAGTAACTTAGTTGGTGATAATGCTGGAAGAAGGTGGAGTCTTAAGTAACTTAGTTGGTGATAATGCTGAAAGAAGGTGGAGTCTTAAGTAACTTAGTTGGTGATAATGCTGGAAGAAAGTGGAGTCTTAAGTAACTTAGTGATAATGCTATAAGAAGGTGGAGTCTTAAATAACTTAGTTGGTGATAATGCTGGATGAAGGACCTGGATCCATGGACTCGGCGAGGCTGACTTCCCAACATTACCATCCTCGCATGGGCAGTGTTCTCGTGAACGAATCGGCCAGTGGCTATTGGTTCCATGTGAACAGTGGAGAGAATGACTCTCATCCCAGATGTGTAGTGGTTTGGTCATGGGCACGCAAGTGCAAATGCACAGCTGTCAACCCATACGATTTTCCCGTTTTCTTGTACAGGGAAATTTAGTTTTCACGTCCATACAGCGTACAGCCGTTTCAATACAGGCAACATTTTTTTAGATTAATAAGGGCACGGGGTGACCAATCAAGTCTGAATTGGTTTGTAATAAGATAGGCGCTGATAAGGTGGTTGACAGGTATGCAAATGCCACGATATAATATAGGTCTGGGAAGCCAAAAGGCTGGTGGACTAAAATGTACTTTTATTTGAACGTGGAGACAATGAAGTTCTGTCAATATATACCGGCATCTATAATTTATCCTCCACAACAAGGCACACTGATATTCTTGGTTCTTTCGGTAAAGTCACGTAGAAAGGAAACAATTAAATAATAAGCATAAGGTATATAAAATAATAATTTTGTATTATTTTGTTTCCCTTCTACGTGACTTTACCGAAAGAACCAAGAATATGAATCCCTGCAGTCACGAAAGCTTTAAATCAAAAGGCACACTGAGTTATGTTAACGTGTGCTTTATGCAACAGTCCACGTTTTCTGTTTCCTTCTGTTGGCATGTGTAGGACACGTCTTGTGTTGGGTAACTACAGTAAATGCTTTGAAATCCCACTCACTCTTAGCCCACATTTATCGTGAGTTCCATAACGTAATTGTGTGCACATGGAAATGAGGCTCTACAACCCCAACGTAACTGTTATCGTAATCTGCTTGCCAATATTTGCAGTGCTCTTGAATTTGGGCCACGTTTCAGCATTGGTCATGGTGACATTTAACTTTAAGGCCGATTGATATGTCGTCACTGTCTTGAAATGTTTCTAGTATAATGCAGGATTTAATTTTACAAAAATAATAAAACGTGTGTCGTGATGTAACACACCCAAGCATTCCTACATCAGGTGATGAGTGTATAGTGGTGGGGTATCTGCGGCCAAGTCCCTGTTGTTTCTTAAAATGCTTTTTATTTCTCTCAATTATTATGCATTCTGACTCTTCTCGCCTTCCCCCACCATTGCAAATGGAGACATTAAGCTGTTACCTGCAGTTGCCACTCCTTAAAGACATGATTGTAAATGGAGACATTTGTACTGTGGACAGTTTCTAACGGTTGGTATTCACAGTTCTTTGGTCAGTGTTGCTCGAACTTAGAACCACGAGCTTAGCCTTGTGGGCTTCGGCAGACAACTTCATGGAAGCGTCGCGTCCGTCATGAACGTGGCTCGGTGTTTAAACAAAATAATCAAACGAACGGCCCCGTAACGTCAAACCACAGTCATTCAATCGGCTCTGCCATTGCAAATTCTCACCGCTTATTCAAGCCCACACGAATATTTTGGGCGATACCATTTATAGATATCCCACTAAAAATAAAGTGAGAAATCATAAAGGAACAACGCTTTAATTTACAAGTCTCGACAATGTATTCAACCAATAACAACATAATTATCGGCTGTTATCCCCCCCCACCCTCCTTTGTAAAGGTCGCTGTTCACGGCATTCAGTCGCTTGTCGAGTGGAGAGTTATGTGCTCGTTCCGTGTCAGTGGGGTATCTGTACGTCGAGCACCCTGGACATTGCTACTTTGAACTTCACCACAATGGCCTCTCCGTGATGACCCTGGGATGATTTACTCTGAAGTGAAACAATATCATGAACTGTTGATGAAAAACAAGCTGTCTTAGCTTCCATCGGTGTTTCAAAATTCTTTAAGCGTCCTGTATTTTGAATAAATGTGTAGACATGAGTTACTGTATCAGACGGTTAATGACACTGAACATTTGATATTATAATTAAATAATAGCCATTGATTAAACTAATAACCCTTGCATGCCTTTTTATGTTCTAAAGATGAAGCCATTTCTTAAGATAAAACGAAAATGAAAAAAACCACTACGATATTTGAAGGGTTATAGTGTAAAGGTTTGGAAATGTCGCGTGATAACATGGTGACTGTGTTTTAAAAGTACGAAGTTTCAGTGGCTTGTTTTTATATAAAGAAAGGGTAAGAATAAAACATAAGGTATAAAGAATGAGAAAAGAAAAATGTATTTGCCATGTCCAAGTCTTCTGATGTCCCCTGTTTTAAAGACCAAGTGAAAAATAGCATTCATCGTTTGTAAATATAAAATCAGTGCAGGCGTGAAAATCCTGTTTGCTGACGTCTTCTCCAGCACTGATCTTTTCATTTGTGGTAATTGTGAGAGCTTCTGTATGTGGGTACGTGTGTGTGTGTGCTTGTGAGAGCTTCTGTAGGTACGTGTGTGTGTGATTGTGAGAGCTTCTGTATGTAGGTACGTGTGTGTGTGCTTGTGAGAGCTTCTGTAGGTACGTGTGTGTGATTGTGAGAGCTTCTTTATGTAGGTACGTGTGTGTGTGCTTGTGAGAGCTTCTGTATGTAGGTACGTGTGTGTGTGCTTGTGAGAGCTTCTGTATGTAGGTACGTGTGTGTGATGTATGTACATGTGTGCGTGTGTGATTGTGAGAGATGTAGGTACATGTGTGTGTGTGATTGTGGGGAGCGGTAGTGTAGCGGTTAGCGCGCTGTGCTATGAACCTTGCGACCCGGGTTCAATTCCCGCTCGCGGCCAACACCAGTGACGATTATCTGAACCGGTCCTGGGCCTCCCCTAGGTCGACTCAGTGTCAAATGAGTACCTGGTGCGGTGGATAAAAACATTGCCACTGGGGAGACAAAGGCGGTCGGGCGTGGTGCTGGCCACCCACCCCCTCGTGTACCGTTCTGGCCTTCATAGGTGCTCGCTAACAGCACTTGCCCCTACAGTCTGTTAAGGCTATACGGGGGATCTTTGTCATTGTGAGAGAAGTATGTACATGTGTGTGTGATTGTGAGAGATGTAGGTACATATGCGTGCACGTATGATTTTGGTGCATAAACCTGCACATACCAAATGGGAATGGGGAAGATATTCATGCCACCAACTCTTCAAACTAATATCCGATCCTGTTATATTTTTTGGGCATCTCTGTTTGCAGTATTTAATTCCTTCCCTTTACGATTTCACCACAGCTCATGCCAAGACCCTTGCATTGTTATACACCTTGTTTTTTTTCATTTATGGGTTTTAAATGTGATAAATTAATTGTAAAGCGAAATCAAAGTGTAAAAAATAACAAATATTTTCATTTTAGCACGTAACCTGGTTAATAAAACACATTGTGTGCTGCTATGGTTATTACGTTTCCTGTAGGATTCACCATTGTGCAACAGTATTTCATTGCAACCATTATAAATCAGTATAAATATACTGATCACACCACGCCAGAGTAAGCCGTGTTTATACCACACAGCAGCAGCAGCAGCGTGGAGACCACTCGCAATGCCACTTAAGGCCAGCATTGATGATGTACACGTGCATTGCGCACCTCCCATTTGCACGGTTAGCTACGTACGGTGATAAAGAAGTTCAACCTACAGACATGATGATGAGAGTGTGGGCCTTTCAAAACTGGCACCGCTGGGTTTCTGAATTCGTATCCAGGCAAGCCACTCATTTGACCGGGTTCTCAAGTGTAGTGAGTGGATGGTGTCAACCCGGTCACCAATGACTGCACACACACACAAAGTATTCGATTTGTTTTTTTTTTCAATATGGGAACATTCTTGTTCTTGGTATACATGTCAGTTTCATTGCCAATATGCAGTTCCCTCGTGGTAAGTATTACGAATATAAACCTCTTGATGCAAACGCTCCGGTCACTACCGACAGATGGGCCTGCACCAGAGGGACTTGTAGAGGACATTTTGCCTTCTTTTCCACGCTGATCAGACGTCTCGGAATGAGGTGATAAACACCCACGGTGTTACACCTCGTTCTACAATCATCATCGTCATCATTCCTGACATGGGGTGGGTGGGTTCACGACAACCGGGAGAAGACCCCCCCGGGGCCGGACCAGGGCCATGCTGCTGCTGACGGGACGACTTCACTCGGCTGGCCTGGGAACGCCGCTTGGGAATTCTCCAGGAAGAGCTACAGTCTCTGTATGGTAGTGTATAGTAGTGTATAGTAGTGCAGTGTACAGTAATGTATAGTGTAGTGTATAGTGTAGTAGTGCAAGAGTGTGTCACCAGGGAGAGGGAGGTGTGGACCGCCACGACTCAACACGCTGCTGTAGTGTATAGTAATGTAGTATATAGTGTATGATGTAGTGTATAGTAATGTAGTATATAGTGTATGATGTAGTGTATAGTGTGGTAGTGTATGATGTAGTGTATAGTGTAGTAGTGTATGATGTAGTGTATAGTGTATGATGTAGTGTATAGTGTAGTAGTGTATGATGTAGTATATAGTGTAGTAGTGTATGATGTAGTGTATAGTGTATGATGTAATGTATAGTGTAGTAGTGTATGATTTAGTGTACAGTGTAGTAGTGCAAGAGTATGTCACCAGGGAGAGGGAGGTGTGGACCGCCACGACTCAACACGCTGCTGTAGTGTATAGTAATGTAGTATATAGTGTATGATGTAGTATATAGTGTATGATGTAGTGTATAGTGTAGTAGTGTATGATGTAGTGTATAGTGTATGATGTAGTGTATCGTGTAGTAGTGTATGATGTAGTGTATAGTGTATGATGTAGTGTATAGTGTATGATGTAGTGTATAGTGTAGTAGTGTATGATGTAGTGTACAGTGTATGATATAGTGTAGTAGTGTATTATGTAGTGTATAGTGTATGATGTAATGTATAGTGTAGTAGTGTATGGTGTAGTGTATAGTGTATGATGTAGTGTATAGTGTAGTAGTGTATGGTGTAGTGTATAGTGTATGATGTAGTGTATAGTGTAGTAGTGTATGATGTAGTGTATAGTGTATGATGTAGTGTATCGTGTAGTAGTGTATGATGTAGTGTATAGTGTATGATGTAGGGTATAGTGTATGATGTAGTGTATAGTGTAGTAGTGTATGATGTAGTGTATAGTGTATGATGTATTGTATAGTGTAGTAGTGTAGTAGTGTATGATGTAGTGTATAGTGTATGATGTAGTGTATAGTGTATGATGTAGTGTATAGTGTAGTAGTGTATGATGTAGTGTATAGTGTATGATGTAGTGTATAGTGTAGTAGTGTATGATGTAGTGTATAGTGTAGTAGTGTATGATGTAGTGTATAGTGTATGATGTAGTGTATAGTGTAGTAGTGTATGATGTAGTGTACAGTGTAGTAGTGTATGATGTAGTGTATAGTGTATGATGTAGTGTATAGTGTAGTAGTGTATGATGTAGTGTATGATGTAGTGTATAGTGTAGTAGTGTATTATTTAGTGTATAGTGTAGTAGTGCAAGAGTGTGTCACCAGGGAGAGGGAGGTGTGGACCGCCACGACTCAACACGCTGCTGTAGTGTATAGTAATGTAGCATATAGTGTATGATGTAGTGTATAGTGTAGTAGTGTATGATGTAGTGTATAGTGTATGATATAGTGTAGTAGTGTATGATGTAGTGTATAGTGTATGATGTAGTGTATAATGTAGTAGTGTATGGTGTAGTGCAGGGGTCGGGAACCTTTTTGGCTGAGAGAGCCATAAAAGCCAAATATTTTAAAATAAATTTCCGTGAGAGCCATATAATATTTTTTAACACTGAATACAACTAAATGCGTGTATATTTAACTTAGACCACCAATTTTAGAATATAATAAGTCTCTGAATGTATCCATTTTAATAACGTTGTTATACCAAAAACCAATAATAAATAAAATACTTATTACCATTAATGCGACTTCTGGTGCTGCATGGTTTTGCTGATGGCTTTGTAGTCTGGTTGATACTAGCTTGCACTCTGGACAGTAGCTCTTGGCGCATGCCTTCTTTCTGCTGTCCCCCGCTGGATATTTCGATGCAAATGTAGCATGGCGTGTGTCGAAGTGCCGCTTTATATTTGACCGTTCCATCGATGAAATTTTATCATTGCATATTAGACGCACCGCAGAACCCGCTCTCTCCACAAAGGCGAATTCTTCCGTCCATTCGTGCTGAAATGTGCGGTACTCCTCATCTTTTTTTTTACTTTTCGCCATCTTCTTCATCAAAAGGGTTTGCTCTGCATAAATGAGCTAGCTGACTATTTGATTAAAAGGACGGTAGTTTACTTCTTGACCTCACAACGAGGACCCGTATGCTACCGCATTATCCTATAAAAATAGAGTTTTGGTGTCGGACAGCTGGGATTGGCTCCAGACACCTGCAACCCTGAGCAGGAGCGGTCGAAAATGGATGGATGGATTAAAATGCATGAGAATGTTTTATATTTTAAACGTTATTTTCAACACCGTGATTTCTGTAATGCTTTACTTTAATGTCAGTGGAATGATTCATTACTTATCATGTTAAGAAATGTCAGCTAAGATTTATTTGCGAGCCAGATGCAGTCATCAAAAGAGCCACATCTGGCTCGCGAGCCATAGGTTGCCGACCCCTGGTGTAGTGTATAGTGTATGATGTAGTGTATAGTGTAGTAGTGTATGGTGTAGTGTATAGTGTATGATGTAGTGTATAGTGTAGTAGTGTATGATGTAGTGTATAGTGTATGATGTAGTGTATAGTGTAGTGTATGATGTAGTGTATAGTGTATGATGTAGTGTATCGTGTAGTAGTGTATGATGTAGTGTATAGTGTATGATGTAGTGTATCGTGTAGTAGTGTATGATGTAGTGTATAGTGTATGATGTAGTGTATAGTGTATGATGTAGTGTATAGTGTAGTAGTGTATGATGTAGTGTATAGTGTATGATGTAGTGTATAGTGTATGATGTAGTGTATAGTGTAGTAGTGTATGATGTAGTGTATAGTGTATGATGTAGTGTATAGTGTATGATGTAGTGTATAGTGTAGTAGTGTATGATGTAGTGTATAGTGTATGATGTATTGTATAGTGTAGTAGTGTAGTAGTGTATGATGTAGTGTATAGTGTATGATGTAGTGTATAGTGTATGATGTAGTGTATAGTGTAGTAGTGTATGATGTAGTGTATAGTGTATGATGTAGTGTATAGTGTAGTAGTGTATGATGTAGTGTATAGTGTAGTAGTGTATGATGTAGTGTATAGTGTATGATGTAGTGTATAGTGTAGTAGTGTATGATGTAGTGTATAGTGTAGTAGTGTATGATGTAGTGTATAGTGTATGATGTAGTGTATAGTGTAGTAGTGTATGATGTAGTGTATGATGTAGTGTATAGTGTAGTAGTGTATGATTTAGTGTATAGTGTAGTAGTGCAAGAGTGTGTCACCAGGGAGAGGGAGGTGTGGACCGCCACGACTCAACACGCTGCTGTAGTGTATAGTAATGTAGCATATAGTGTATGATGTAGTGTATAGTGTAGTAGTGTATGATGTAGTGTATAGTGTATGATATAGTGTAGTAGTGTATGATGTAGTGTATAGTGTATGATGTAGTGTATAATGTAGTAGTGTATGGTGTAGTGTATAGTGTATGATGTAGTGTATAGTGTAGTAGTGTATGGTGTAGTGTATAGTGTATGATGTAGTGTATAGTGTAGTAGTGTATGATGTAGTGTATAGTGTATGATGTAGTGTATAGTGTAGTGTATGATGTAGTGTATAGTGTATGATGTAGTGTATCGTGTAGTAGTGTATGATGTAGTGTATAGTGTATGATGTAGTGTATCGTGTAGTAGTGTATGATGTAGTGTATAGTGTATGATGTAGTGTATAGTGTATGATGTAGTGTATAGTCTAGTAGTGTATGATGTAGTGTATAGTGTATGATGTAGTGTATAGTGTATGATGTAGTGTATAGTGTAATAGTGTATGATGTAGTGTATAATGTATGATGTAGTGTATAGTGTAGTAGTGTATGATGTAGTGTATAGTGTATGATGTAGTGTATAGTGTAATAGTGTATGATGTAGTGTATAATGTATGATGTAGTGTATAGTGTAGTAGTGTAGTAGTGTATGATGTAGTGTATAGTGTATGATGTAGTGTATAGTGTATGATGTAGTGTATAGTGTATAGTGTATGATGTAGTGTATAGTGTATGATGTAGTGTATAGTGTAGTAGTGTATGATGTAGTGTATAGTGTATGATGTAGTGTATAGTGTAGTAGTGTATGATGTAGTGTATAGTGTATGATGTAGTGTATAGTGTATAGTGTATGATGTAGTGTATAGTGTATGATGTAGTGTATAGTGTAGTAGTGTATGATGTAGTGTATAGTGTATGATGTAGTGTATAGTGTAGTAGTGTATGATTTAGTGTATAGTGTAGTAGTGCAAGAGTGTGTCACCAGGGAGAGGGAGGTGTGGACCGCCACGACTCAACACGCTGCTTTAGTGTATAGTAATGTAGCATATAGTGTATGATGTAGTGTATAGTGTAGTAGTGTATGATGTAGTGTACAGTGTATGATATAGTGTAGTAGTGTATGGTGTAGTGTATAGTGTATGATGTAGTGTATAGTGTAGTAGTGTATGGTGTAGTGTATAGTGTATGATGTAGTGTATAGTGTAGTAATGTATGATGTAGTGTATAGTGTATGATGTAGTGTATAGTGTAGTAGTGTATGATGTAGTGTATAGTGTATGATGTAGTGTATAGTGTAGTAGTGTATGATGTAGTGTATAGTGTAGTCTGTCACCAGGGAGAGGGAGGTGTGGACCGCCACGACTCAACACGCTGCTTTAGTGTATAGTAATGTAGTATATAGTGTATGATGCAGTGTATAGTGTAGTAGTGTATGATGTAGTGTACAGTGTATGATATAGTGTAGTAGTGTATGGTGTAGTGTATAGTGTATGATGTAGTGTATAGTGTAGTAGTGTATGGTGTAGTGTATAGTGTATGATGTAGTGTATAGTGTAGTAGTGTATGATGTAGTGTATAGTGTATGATGTAGTGTATAGTGTAGTAGTGTATGATGTAGTGTATAGTGTATGATGTAGTGTATAGTGTAGTAGTGTATGATGTAGTGTATAGTGTATGATGTAGTGTATAGTGTAGTAGTGTATAGTGTATGATGTAGTGTATAGTGTAGTCTGTCACCAGGGAGAGGGAGGTGTGGACCGCCACGACTCAACACGCTGCTGCCACCACGACCCTCACCAGGACAAGCGGACTGAGAAACCCACGAATCTTCCATTTTAAAATACCACCCGTGATGGCTGAGTGCTCAACAGCCATTAGCGCCTTGGGTACATCATGCTCCTTGACCCACCCTGGCACACACCTCGACGAAAACACACAAAAAATAGTTTTGCGAAAACAAGAAACCTCCTCCTCCTCGAGAGAGAGAGAGCGGTGCTGCTTTGCAACACAGCCCCTGCAACACATTATAGCCGCCAAAGTTGATTTAACCCCCTGCCGCTGTTGATGACATTGCAAACACGAAGCCCCCGAGGCGAGACTCGCTATGTTCATAAAGCGGTCGTCGTGCGCGCTTGTTCTCAAATCTCAACCCCTTCCCTGGTGATGCCGCCTCGGTGTTCAGTGCCGCTTGCTAAACAAAACACAAGGGGGGTCAGTGAAGGGTTGAGGGACGCGTCCAGTTGGAGGCTTGGCTGACTCGGAGATTGTAGCAGCAGTAACGAGGGTTGAGTCTTGGATGAAAACGTTTAGGATATTCGCTTTTAAAGATGTGTTGTTTTTTGTTTTTTTTTACACGGCGTAATGCGGTGAAGGCGTCTTCGTGCCATCGACGTGAAGTCGACAGATGGCAACGTGGGGTCGCTTTTGACAGGCGAAGGAGGCACGTGGAGCCACTGACGGCCTCTCGAATCCAAAACAAAAACACATTCGGCTCATCTGGCTTCTTTGTTGTGCTTTTTGTGTTTCCTTTCTCAGATGAATCCCAACATCGGCAGCGCGCATGCCTCGTGTCGACTGCCCCTCTCTGGCTCTCTCGTCTCATTCTCTCTCCCCCGTTGTGCACAGCGGCAGAGAGAGCAACAAACATCCAAAACCTGCGCCCTCCGCCGTCTCCAGCAACCACAGAGGGCCCGCACGGCGAGCAGATGCCCCCATCCAGCAGTGGAGTGACAACTGCGCTCCCCCACCGTGTGCGAGTTTGCTCTCGTCGTGTTTCCTGTCGCTGTGATTCCTACGCTTCTCACCTAGTGCGCACTTGCCCTGTGCATGCACACGGCCTATGCGAGTGTGGTTTTTTTTTATATGCATATCGAGTTGCAATCATTCTTTGGTTATATTTTTGGTGGACCAAAAAGAAATATTTTCATGTGTCTAAGTTGTAAACTTTACGGTGGCGCAGTGGTCACCGCGATATAAACCCCGTGACCTGAGTTTGCTTCCTCGTCACGGCTAGCATCAGTGGAAAGTTCTGTGGTCACCAACCCACCACACTACTGACCAGTTTAGTGAAGCATGGTCTCGCGACCCCCGTGACCGACACGCTGTGGGAAGGTTTTCATCCAGCAGTAGACCGACGAGGGCTTTAAATTATGACTTTAAATGCAACAGTCACTATAAACACTGCTGCTATTTGTTGCCTGAGAAAACAACCCGAGCTTTCAGGCAGCAAACTTTCAAGGTCAATATTTTACATGGGCAGTGACGCAGCACCATCGACTTTGGCTGGCTTTGTACTCTCAGAACTTGTCAACAAGCCATGGCAGAGTTCACATTCGTTTAACCTTGATTTATTTTTGCCCAGCACATGCTCTTTCAATTTGTCTGGTATTGCCGCTACTTAGAGAGCATACCCTCTTGTCAAAAATGATAGCATCTTTATAGGTCTCGCATTTTTATTTATTTACATATTACTATTATTATCCGACTTTTCCCCGTAAGTTCCCACTTGCCCATTCTTGTAACCTCTGTCAACTCCAATTAATCGCAGTATTTACCCGAATGCCAAACGGACACGTCAACATAATTGTAATTACCCACCCCGCGTGTTCCCCCCAAGATCCCCCCACCCCACATTGCTGCAGCACGCCCCATGTACATCTACGGTTTAAATGTGAGCGACATTCCGTGGTCTGCATCTCGGCAGTTCACTTAAGACAGCGGTCTGGCATCCTCTTGCAAGTCCCTTCGTTCTGCATTGCCAAGACGGCCACGCAGCCACCCCAGCAGGGTACAGCAGCAGCAACAACAACAACAGGACACGTGGACACCTTCTTACTGTCACCCCGGCTGTCACAGGCCACCACTCAGTGGCACAACTTAGTTTTAATTGTCATCGTTTTGTTTTGCCTTTTCCTCTTAAGATTTGCTGCTTTTGGGTGGAATCTCATCAGACGTAATTATCCCGTGTTAAGGGAACAGCTTCTGGACGTTTGACATGACGAACCGCTTCTCAGGGTCCCATTGATGGCTTCTTATCTCGCCTCTAATGCCCGAGTATTGAGTTGTACATGACTTGGCAGTCGAACCAAATGGTGATATGGCTGTGAGAGATCAAATATGTTGAATTTAGTCATTAGGAAAAATACTCGAATTTAATACGAATAGAATTGTTAATACAAATGTGAGGCTGCATACCCAAGTGAAAAAGAAAAAAAGATAAATGAAGTTAGAATTATTGAGAATTTATTAAAATATGATTAACACGTCGATGCAATTTTTCTAAATTTGTATTTACGAATGACCTTGAAAAAATACTTTATGACTCAGATATGATATACGATCCAGTTTAAGTTCTTAAAAAATACATTAATGTATGCCAGCAATGTTTGACGATATGTGTGGCTCAGAATTACTGTAGTTATCTGCATTGCAAACAATTGTGACAGCAGGGTTATACATATACAGTTTGTAAAAGCACGTGACGATATTAACTTTACAGGTAGAATAACAAACTCGCTGACATTAGGCGAATCCTTTTTCATACAAATAAAATCATTTTTTTGAAAAGTTTAGTTAAATAGTATGGATAAATTATTATTATTTCTTTATAACAATGCCACCATCCACAGGAGTCTTCACATTGATGGCATATGACTGCCGCCACATTTCCAATACCTCTTCGAGCAAAACACGTGTCGATACGAAATGGAAACGATTATTTCATTTTAAGCATTTTACTCTATTGCATAAAGTTATCGTCATGTAAATATGTTTGAACAACATGTCGAATGGAGTTAAGTGGAGGACATTTCAAAATACATCGGAGGTCTTCAATCGAGACGCACTCAAAGCTGCCAGTTCACACCTAAGAGCACGTCCAGATTTGGCCACAGGATAACCATCGAACAAAGACGGTGGTCACCGCGTCGCGCGCCTTTCAGATGCACTGCTCTTGCAGCCATGTGGAACGCTCTTCCTTCCGGTATGTAGAAGCAACTGGAGCTTTGCACTTTGAAATCTAGAGTGAAAACTAATTTCTTTAGAACTGCGTTTTGTGTTTAGGTTGTTGTCCTTCCAACGCACCTCCGATTAGCACGGTTGGCTACGTACGGTGCGAAAATGATTTCAACGTGCGCACATTTAATTTGGCTCGCAGCCACATGAGACGCACCTCTTCACAATGGCCTGCAAATGACATCCATCACTGCAAAAACTTTGGGCGCAGTAATCGGGTACGAGAGGAGAATATGTTCTATCTGGGAACAACATTGCTTCTCATGTAAATCGCTCGGCCACGTCTGAGGTGTGTGTTAATGTGTGGCCCACGAAAGGTATTTGAAGGTCCTGTTTGGTGCTTAAGAACAAAAAACGAATCTCTGCCCCAGAGCCAAAGCCCGAGGCGAGCAAGATATTTGTTCTCGAGAGACGCTGGAGATGATCAAGAGGCGTCGCGTGCTCAGGTTGAATTGTGAGGCCGACCTGCAACGGGCAGCTGAGCGACCAGATTACACACTCTCTCAGGAGTGACGCAGATCGTTGGGTCCAGGTGACTGTCGAGGGGCGAGAGAGCCCCCATTGTTCAAGTGACTCTCACACTCCACGTGACACCCTTTGATGCCCCCTGCTCTAAGCCTTGACCCTGGTGGGTTTTCCTATAAGTGCAGCTCGTGGAAGCCTCTTGAACATACCTGGATGAAGGACAAGGCCCTCTGAGCTCAGTTATTCGCGCAGTAGTATCGGGCGGTAAATTTTGATGATGATGATGAAGAATATCAAGCCTGCTCTCTTAAGCAGCGGTGCGTTGGTTCTGGCTGCTGAATTACTGGTGGCAGATGTCCCACCTGTTTATAACCATTGTCATAACGCTCTAAATTGTCGTGAATGGTTGAATAATTCGCAGCCCTATGTCAATCGAGTGTGGACTAAAGTCTCCCCATGCTGTATCAGTCACGGAGGTTGTTTGTCTGCACTTCACCTCACTGGCTAATGTGTGAAAGGGGAAACCCGGGATCAGTTCCAATATCTCCCGCTACTGACGTCAGCTGTGGGCAGGAATCAAACTCGGGTAGCCGAACCCACAGCAAAATGTCCCGTTTGGATGACGCTTGAGGTCAGACGGAAAATAAAGCTACTTCCGTTTTGCCCGATTCGATTCTCTTGATGGCCACCGAGAGGCCAAATGCCAAGAGCTCTGAAACACCTTCAGAAACAGAACATGTATACTTTCACAGATGTCCAGGAGGTAACCTTCATCTAGCAGCGGGTCCAGGACGGTGCATCCCACCGTATGGGCTCACAGTCGGGGTCAGGCAGTGCTCACGAGACCCTGGCCGAGAGCTACCGATGGGCCAGAGCCAGTGTTGGCATTGTGGGCATCAGGGGTGTAAACAATTCCACCCTCTCTCCCCTAGCCCCCACCATGATCTGATGAATTGTCACGATTTGAGAACGCAATTCTCTTGATCTGTCATGTTTGTTCTGTTTCATTCGTGTCATTGGCCTCAATCTTAACTCAACCTATCATTTGCATTCAAATGCAAATTTCACGAATTGTGAATATTTCTATGCCGTGCAACAGAAGCACAGGGATATATTTTAATCGATGGATCTTGTCATCATGATGTAAGTGCTGGTTTCACAGCGTGAAGAGCGGTGGCCTGGTGGTTATTGAGATGACCAACAACTCGAGGCAGCCAGGAATTGGCCTTCCCGCCCACGCTCACAACAGGAATTCATAACTCAGCCTAAGCAAGGCCTCCCCTTAGTTGAACCACATGAAAAAAGTGCCTCTTCAGCGTCGTGTCGAGATCAGCTGTGGAGAGACCGTGGCCGATTTTGATCTCTCCACCCCCTCAGGTTCTGTGTTGGATTTTGCAGGTTCCTATTTATCCCTGCAGTTGGATCAGACTAAAGGAGAAGATGTTTTTTATACGCACGCGCGTATGTGTTTCAAACAAGATGACAGAGCAGACTCTCGGTCTGTTGACAGATAGCCCGAGACCCGGTCGCAGACCCTCCACAATGTTGCGGGCTCACCGCCCTGACACATGCGGCGTCGTCCGCGACCACGCCGACACCGCGATTTACGGCCGATGATGTCACGCAAAGTAGGGAGGGGGGGTGCACGGATCGGTAAATCCCACGCACCGGCGCACGTCACGGACGTGACGGCCGCGGCGACGGGGATTTCGTTTCGAGACCGGGGTGGCAGGGAGACGACCCCGACGGCCATCACTCGTAGTAAACGCCGAAGATGGTCGCGACGCAGAAGCGCGCCCCTCGGCGGTAGTGGTGGGAGGCGAAGGCGTCGGCGGCCGGGTCCCAGAGGCAGCGGCTCGCCACCACCACCTGCTCGCGCTCCCAGCTGCCCAGCGTCACGCTCACGATCAGCTTGTAGCGCGTGGGGGTCTGCTCCTTGGCACGAGCTGTGCGGGAGGAGGGGGACACGCGGCGTGCAGAGGGGGAGCTCCGGTTGGCACGCTTGGATGCCTCGGCGTGGCGAGAGCGCATCTCGACCATTCACAATGCCCTGCTGCAGTTCAACCAAGAGTTCCCCCGGTGGCAGCTGTCCCTGTATGTTGACTCGAGCAAGGGCCAGACGAGTTTAACCCGGCGACAAGATCCTGAATGTCACATGAGGGAGACAATGGGGCCTCCTTCGAGAAACTGGGACTGTTCTGGCCCCACCGGGATATTTGGCAGCGTTAATTGTTGGAGTTAATTTGTTTGAATGCTACATCTACACCTTGACGTGGAACGGTGTCCCCCTTTGATCCACCGAACCAGTTGGATGCAAAAGTGAAAGATGTGCCACAAATGAACAACAACACCTTGCTGATCTTATCAAGGAGCGTAAACCTTCACGCGAATTCCGGTTACGCTCGCAGCGGCTTTTGAATAGCCATTAAACAAAGACGGTGACTTCAGATGCGCTTCTGTGGCCGTCTGGAACGCTCTTCCTTCCGATATTCAGAAGCCACTGGAGCTGTGAACTAGCACTGCTTTTTGTGTTTAGTTTGTTGTCCTACCCCCGCACCTCCGACGAGCACGGTTGGCTACGTACGGTGCCAAAGAAGTTCAACACACACACAAGTACATAACACGCAGCGCTCGCCATCGGCCGTGGGTGCTGTACCCTTGATCTCCTCGCTGAGCAGCGGCGCGAGGCGAGCGCAGGCGGCAGCGTCGAGCGCCTCCCCCTCCCCCAGGTGCCGAGTCAGCGTCTCCTCCAGCAGGCGCTCCAGGCGCTCCACGGGAAAGCTTTCGTGGCCGGCCCCAGCCGAGCCACCCTTGACGAAAGAGACGGGAGGTTATTATTTGACTTGTTTATTATCACGCTTGCTTACCCACAGGAAAGCCTCACTCGGTCCCAAGGCTCTTTGCGGGAGCGTCCTGCCAAGTTTTCGTAGCAGGAGGCGATGCTGCTGCGTATAATCCCATTTGAGTAGTGTGCAGCTACATTTTCAGAATTGGAATGTTTGGCCAACACCAGTGACCTTGTACAGGCAGACCTCGCTGAGCGCGACCCCTGTAGAACGCTGATTCAGTTATGGTGCTCTTTGGCCCGGGGAATTTTTTTACAAAAAAAATCTGAAAATCTGAATGGTGCTTACGAGTGAGCGCTGGTCTGGGAGGCGTAGCCGGCCCCATCGTTCGCTCAGCCAATGGGAGCGACGCACACCGAGGCAACTAGACCCCAACCCCCGAAATTCGATTAGCACGACTCACGGTGCGTATATGTGTGTATGTTGAACTTCTTTCGCACCGTACATAGGCAACCGGTCTAGGGGAATGATTACACACACAAAAGAGAGAAAATAGATTTTCACCCCAATGTTATTATAATCGTACGTTTATCCAGTTGAGAACTCGCGAGACCAGGACAGAGTCTCAGGCTCGACCTAAAATCAACTTCACGACAGATTTTGACTGAGGGCATCGCTCAGACCCGGATTGGGTTTTCGTGATGCCATGCTGAACAGTGCGCAGGACCGGTTCTGATATCACTCCACACCGATGTTCGTAGCTATGGCCTCAAATGCATTTCAAGTCTCCAGGTTCACAGCGCAGGCGCGCAAGCTCCTTAAAGTTAATATGCTTTAATTGCCAGAGAGCCCGCAGGGAGAACACAATTCCCAATTTGCAATCGGTGGGTTCGTAAAAAGCGTTGAAACAATAACAGTGCACGCGCCACTCCAGTGAGGGGCACTCGACTCCACTTACACCTTACGCTGCGCGAAATTACCCTTGCCGAGTATTTAATGCGCTAAGCTCGCGGGTTCTAAACGTTTGCAAATTCACGTCTGTGGTTATGCCCTTGAACACATCAACAAGCAAAGTGTCTCATGCAGTGAAGAATGTCTCTTGTTGTTCCTGGGGTTTTTTAAATACAAAAAATAATTGCAAAGTCTATTTGTCTATAATGTTCATTTGTACGTAAATTAACATTTTGATAATGTTCAACACTAGGACTAGGGTGCAGGTGGACTGTCAACCACCAAATCCTCACGATCTTCCAGTACATGGGAAATTACATTGACCGCATTATTCATTGTAAAACTTCCAACTCTGAATGTCCTAACATTCACATGAAACGTAGTCCGATCCGCGGCCAGGGCTAGCCTAATCTGGGCCACCCTTCACCTCACACGAGGGTCCATGCCGTCCCCACTGTCACACTGGCCCTCTGTGCCTCCTCGCGGAGTTCACCTCTGCCCCATGGTCGCCAGTGCCTGATCGCCCCTCCATCTGCTTCCTCTCTGCGATCCTCTGCGCCGTCTTCGCCTGCCGGGGGGACCCAAGGGGTGCAGGGTGAGTACCTCGCCGGGCGAATTATCCTGCGAGTTATAGATTCATTGCAAGAGCTTTGTTATTCCGCTTCATTTCTTGAAAAGCAAACGTTCCACGACGATGAGCAACGCCCCAATAATCCACGAGAGAAAAATCCCCATACGCGAAATGCGAGAGTGTTTATTGACTACGGCGTCACTTGCCCTGCACGGCAGGCGGCAGCGTTCGAGAGCGATTGTGAATGCCCACTCCAGACATCTGTTGATGGGCGGGTGAAATATATTATTGAAATCCTTAACTGATATTTATTTCATATTCTTAGCTCTTTCGGTAAAGTCACGTTGAAGGGAAACAATAAAATAATAAAATATATATAAAACAATAAAAATGTTCTCGACGTTTCGACCATAACACAACGTGACTTTACCGAAAGAGCTAAGAATATGAATTGCTGCAGTCACGAAAGCTTTAAATCAAAATTTGATATTATTTATTGCCAGATCTTTGATTTCATCGGCGTTGAGATCATCGAACGATGTTTGTATTTCATTCAGCTTTTAATGAAAGGACCAAAGGCAAGACGATGGGCCGATTGCGGTGCGCACGGCGGCATGGGCGAGGGAGTGTGTGTGTGTATATAAAGCGTTGGGACGACCAGCCATACAAGTCGATTAATCGGCTACAATTATAATCGGCTTATTTAACGGGAAAATAATGCAAGCGGGCCGTGCTGTTCACGGACGCGAGACCAAGTCCAGCACGACAATTTGTATTTTCATTTTGACAGACGCACGTATCCACGTACATGGCCGTGTGTGCGCGTGTTTAAAATCCGCGAGCACCTTGAGGTTCCTGGTGAAGCGGCGGGCGGTGATGAGGCCGCGCAGGCTGAAAGGCGCCACGGAGCCGCGAGGGAGCACGGCGTGGCCGGGGATCGCGGCGGTGGCGGCGGCGGTGGCGTGGCCAGGAGGGGATTCGCGCTGCGCGGCCGGCATCGGTGCCTTCCTGCGGCTGCCTGGCACGGCTACGGGCGACGCCTGCAGAGAGGGGGGCGGCAGGCGTTGGTCGCGCGCTGGTGGGCGAGCGGGCGAGCGAGCGCCGTGCGTAATCTGCAAGCGGAGTCTCCACGGCGGTGTTCTCGAGTGAAGTAGTTGTTCAACTGTGGCAACGAAGTATTAATGAATCGACGCGGTCGATGTTGTGTACGGTCCGTCGCTGCGTTAAAGGCGACGACGTTGCGGAGCGGCAGATAATTTTACCCGGCAGAATGTGTTGAGTTAAGTCAGAAAGATCCTCGACGTAGTTTCAAATGAAACGTCACAAATCCAATTGCTGCTAAATTTGGCTGTGAGAATTGTACCTCAACACCAAGTGACAATTGCATTTAGTTCGCCACGCTGGGTGGTGGAGGGTCTGGACACAAATTTGGCCAGATCATGACACAGACCAAATCAACGGAGAATGCCGAGCGACGTCGACTACCTGGGCAGGCTTGGGCGAGCCATGCTCCCTGGCCTTGTGGTTGTTGGTGGGTATTGGACTGGGGTGGACTGCAGGAGCCGTCCCCCTCGGAGGAAGAGGAACCGGGCTCCCAGCGTCCTTCACCATGAGAACACACGCACCGCTCCCCGCCGCCGTCTGCATGCACCACGCACACAAACAACAAAGATCCCCCGTGTAGCCTTAACAGACTGTAGGGGCAAGTGCTGTTAGCGAGCACCTACGAAGGCTGGCACGGCACACGAGGGAGTTTGGGGGGGGGGGCTAGCACAACGCCCCACCGTCTTTGTCTCCCCAGTGGCGATGTTTACTTACACACCGCACCAGGTTCAGATAATCGTCACCTCTGTTAGCAGTGAGCTGGAATCGAACTCGGGTCGCCGGGTTCGTAGCGCGGTGGGCTAACCGCTTCACCACCGCTCCCCATGCACACGCACATTCACGCGCACACGAGCTAACGACCAAACATCCGTGTTGCATAATGTACGTTGACTACCATACGAATAACCCAACCGGCAATGGATACGCATTGTAATTTAGATGTAATCATTAATCCCCTACACTTCGCACGTGCTGGGCTCACAACTGACGTTATCACAGCTAGCCCTCTATTTAATGAACGAAACAGGAGGACTTCTCCACAAGTCTGGCTGTCGCCTGATGAAGCTAGTTGTAATTACTGGCGAAACGTCGTACTCAGATTGTTAATGTTGTGGATATGCTCTCCAACACACCGGTGTGCTACTCGTAACGAATTGGCACGTTCTGTTGACGTGACAACCCTTACTAATTGGCTGTGTCGGGTGGTGGCGGGTTTAACGACACATTTATATTGACGCGATCTAACCCAAACCCTCCGCGTTTATCACGGCAATTCTACTCGTGTTACCCCTACGTGTTATCCCTACGTGTTACCCCTACGTGTTACCCGGTTACCCCGACGTGTTACCCCTACGTGTTACCCCGACGTGTTACCCCGACGTGTTACCCCGACGTGTTACCCCTACGTGTTACCCCGACGTGTTACCCCGACGTGTTACCCGGTTACCCCTACGTGTTACCTCGACGTGTTACCACGACGGCTAGCTTGAACGTGGATAAGAGGATGAATGCGCTGCTACCCCTCATCTGTAGATTGGTGAGGATAACAGCAGTCGTCAAATCGGAGCTGTGCAGACAACAGGAAGAGCGGCACGAGGACGGCGCAGGCGATGGGTTCAGGATAATGTTGCGAATCAGACACCAAACAATTACTTGGGAAAGTACAGGACACTGTTATGCAGTCCAATTAACGCTGCAGTGATTTCTCACCACGTGGGGTTTGGGGGAGCTGAACATCGGACTCTTTCTACAAATGTCCAACCACTCCGATGTCGGCTTCCCAGCGGCGTGCTGTCGCCACCATCGCAACGACGACGAGAAGAAGAAGCCCACAACAGCTTCAAGAACATTCATTCGGAACGGAGCCATTCATCTTTTACCCCCCCCCCCCATTCCAATCCTGTCGAGAATCGCAACCCCAGGGAATGCTTCTGGGAATTTGGTGCCATTGACTCCCATGTCAATGGCACCACGGTGTGGAGAGTTAAACGAGCACTCCGGGTTTGCTAAGCAACAAGATTATTCGACGGTCGGAGCCGAGTGTTGACAACCTTTCACCGCCACATAAAGCTGCCGACTCTAAGTGAACACTTTGCTTTTGTTGAGAATGCGTGGCCACTTTTCAAGTCGGGCTCGAGGAATGAAGAAAGCCGGCGTGGCCTCTCACACGCCGCTCTGTTGACGCCACCTGATGCCGTCTTCAGGACACGTGCTCCTTTCCCAGCCCGTACGTTGTCGACTTTGGAATTCCGAATTCTTAAAATGCAGAAGGCTCCCTCCTCTATTGCAATATCTGCCGAAATGTCTGTCCCACTGATGCAGTTCACGGAGGATGATTATTAGGGATAGCCGACCGTATGTCACGAGTGAAGTGCTCGAACCTCTCGGCCCTGCTGCGGTGTTCATGCTGAACCTGGTGAACCGGCGTAGATGTTCTGTAGCTGTTAACGTCAGTGGCTGAGTGATATTTGAACCAGTCCTGGGCCACCCTCGCCTCGACCAAGCCGCACCGACGACCAGCGTGGTGAAGTATGGTCGACCGACTCCCCATCCGTGTCACGGCGTGGAGAGGACTTCATCCGTCACTAGGTTCACAAAGGGCTGCAAATTATCATGATTGTTGCTACAGAGCTTGCGTTGTGTACAAAGAAGCATGGATTTACATTTGCGAACATTTGACAAAAATGCTGTGGAACTATTTAATATCTCCACGGAGAAAGCTCAATAATTAAAACCACTAAGCCATAGCCCATGCTGTTTTGACGAGGTTTATGATCTCACAACGATGTCTGCGTCGCCAATGCAACGAATGCCAAATTTGAATACGCCGACAGTATATGTTATATACTATGTGTGTACACTGCACGTGTGTGCTTTTGTTGCCCACGCGTTCCGTGAAAGTGGCAGCTTGTGTTTACTCTGTGTGTCGAGTGCGACACACAGCTGTGCGGTGGGTACACAAAGACAAAGATCCCCCGTGTAGCCGAAGTAGAATGTTGGGGCAAGTGCTGTTAGTGAGCACCTATGAAGGCCGGCACGACACACGAGGGGGTGAGTGGCCAGCACCACGCCCGGCCGCCTTTGTCTCCCTAGTGGCGATGTTTTTACACATAGCACCAGGTAATAAATTGAGGCTGAGTCGACCTAGGGGAGACCCAGGACCGGTTCAGAAAATCGTCACTGGTGTTGGCCGGGAGCGCAGCGCGCTACCGCTACACTGCCGCTCCCCAGGGGGCACACACTCACACTCTCACACTCACTCACTCTCACACACTCATTCACACTCACACACACACTCACTCAAACTCTCACTCACACACTCACACACTCTCACTCACACACTCACTCACTCTCGCACTCACTCACACACTCACTCACTCTCGCACTCACACACTCACTCACTCTCACACTCACTCACACACTCACACACACTCACACACTCTCGCACTCACACACACTCACACACTCACTCACACTCTCACTCACACTCTCACACACACACGCACTCACACACTCACACACATACTCACACACACACTCTCACTCACACACTCACTCTCACACTCATTCACACACTCAATCACACACTAACTCACACACTCACTCACACACACACTCTCACACTCACTCACACACTAACTCACACACACTCTCACACTCACTGACACACTAACTCACACACTCACTCACACTCACTCACACACTCATTCACACACTCACACACTCATTCCCACTCACACAGTCACACACTCTCACACTCACTCACACACACACTCACACACTCATTCACACTCACACACTCACTCTCACACTCTCACACACACACTCACTCACACTCTCGCACACACTCACTCACACACTCACTCACACACACACTCTCACTCACACACTAACTCACACACACTCTCACACTCACTGACACACTAACTCACACACTCACTCACACTCAATCACACACTCATTCACACACTCACACACTCACACACTGACACACACTCTCACACTCACTCACACTCTCACTCACACACTCTCACACTCACTCACACACTTATTCACACTCACACACTCATTCCCACTCACACAGTCACACACTCTCACACTCACACACACACTCACACACTCATTCACACTCACACACTCACTCTCACACTCTCACACACACACACTCACACTCTCACACACACTCACTCACACACTCATTCATACTCAAACACTCACACTCTCACACACTCTCACACTCCCCGTGTTTGCCAGCTCGTTACGTGGCAACCCGCAAACTGACGTCTCGTCGCAAGTTATCGATTTTATCTTTTGTAAACTAAACCAGCAACGGGCAATGCCTATGGCTGCCTGGTCTGCACCTTACACGGGCAACGTCTGCAATGGATAACAAAAATCCACAGTGCGTGTTTGTGCCGTGTGTGTCTGGGTTTACATCCAGATTACAAGAGAGTTAGAGACACCTCTGTTGGAGCCAAAAGAGATATTCTGGCTCACAAGGACATTTTTGTAAATCTAAATCTTTGCTTCCTATATGCGACGCTTTGCCAAAGCGGGAGAGAGGTGTGTGGGAGCTTCAGAGAGTGAGAGGGAGCGTCATATGTTTGCGAAGAGGAATATAGGAGAAGATCTGCCTGCAGAGTAGACGGAATCACGGAAATTGCAGGGCCCAATAGAGATGCAACTGCTCAAGTATTATTGCACAGTTTTTCCCAAGGTAGCCTAACACATCGGAAATCGGTGGCTTGAGGTGGCACGGTGATTCGAGCGCTGCACCGTGCATCCCGTCACCTGGATTCAATTCCCGGCCACGGCTAACATCAGTGGCGAGTGATACCTGAACGGGATCCGCAAGCCCCTTGCATCCCACCTCCCTGACGTACCCGCGCCGACAGCACAACTAAATATTCTGATTCTGAGTGTCATAGGGAATCCCCGGCATCCCTCCCCGTGCTACGGGGAGACCTCCATCCAGCAGTGGATTTGAAAAGGGGGGTTGTAGATGATAACGTTGTGTTTATCTGCTCTCTCGCCTCGTCCTCATGATGACTGTATCTGACATTTTGCTGACTCGCAAATTACACCACGCATCCTGGTATCTTGAGTTAACACCTGGTTACACAAATAAACTAACTAAAACTGTGTGGTAACTGGACAGCATCTATGAATGCTTCATTGTTTTGACTGCATGCACCCCACGCGCGTTTTCCATTCATTGTAACTACCTAGGATAAGAAATGCTGTCACGTTGTCCATATTCTTTTACGGTCAAATGTGCATCAGCGTTGGCCTGCATTGAAATTTGCGGAGCAGTTCAGCTTTGATTGGACGTACATGTGACACTAATGGGTCTGTTCACGGAAATCACTGAAACTCGCTTTTTACATTGGTATTTATTTTACCAATTCGCACTCACTGTTCAAACAGTAATTACAGCCGTGCAATATAAACGCTGCATACAGATTAACAACACTTCGAGAGAATGTTATTTGATTAAATAAAATGTCAGTCCAAGATGCTGTTTTTCGCGAGTACATTTAAATAAGTAATTGCTGTTGATGTTTATTTTATAGAATAATTTCATCGTATGTAATTAAAACTTGATTGAAATGCAATCAATTCGGATCCTCTGAAGGTAGTGACTTTGTATGACAATTTGCCCCCTTTGTAGATGATTACCTGGGAGAGCTACGCCGCTTACATTTGAGAGTGAGCGGTATTTGTAAAGTACAGTCTTATGTTTAATCACCCAGGTGAGAGCCAGTTGAGACCACAAGCCTGTGTTCCAGTCGCAACCGTACACAAACACAAGAGCAGACAGAGGGGAAGGTGCAGATGTAGCAGCAACAGCAAACGAAATGAAAACTTCAAGTGAAAATAAATATCTTATACTCAAAAAATATTAATTGCGTGATAAAATTGTGTAATGTACGAGTTCAACTGCATTCAGCGTCTCTGGGTAGCCTGACGTTTTTTTAGTTGTATCGAGGTAGGGCGAAGAATTCCCACGGATGTCTGTGATAATTTCTCTCGAGGATTACCAAAAGGCAACATTAGCCTTGAGAGTGCACGTTAAAGAGCGTGCACCGCTAAGGTCGTTCAGGTAGGTCAAGTGTCATAACTCAAAATACATTTCTGAAATTAACTACGACCACATTTGTCAAATACAAATAACCGCGTGTACCCCATGGTTCCATATCTCCCGTGCGAAATAAAAAATGGGCCCTTACTTGGTTAAAGGACACAATATGCCATATTTCACATGGATCTTGACTTAAAGGTTTCGTCACTGCAGGAATTCATATTCTTGGGTCTTTCGGTAAAGTCACGTTGATAGGTTCAAAGAAAATAACAAAAAAATAACAAAAACTTACGACGTTGCGATCGAAACGTGGTAGGTTTTTGTTATTTTCTTTGAACATATCAACGTGACTTTACCGAAAGACCCAAGAACATTTCACGTGGATGTTTGCTCTAAACCTTTATCATTCAATCGATAGTCTTAACACTTCAATGAAATAATTCAGTAAAATAAATAACTAATGAGGATACACCAAAGATTCCCTGTTTGTCATTAATAATAATACATTAATTTATAATTAAATGACATTTCGTAACGTTCAGCAACGGCGTCGCGTGCTGTCGTGAAAAGTTTTGACGCAACGCGGTAATCAGACGCAATCTTAAAATGCATTTATTCAAGAGGAGACGAAGGACGTGTACATGTTTATTATTATTCCTATTAAATATCGCAAATTACTTATTCAAAGAACAACATCTACTTGAGTAAATGTGTGAATTGGAACCTCGGTATAAGTCGAAAATGACAGTTTTAATGAATAATTACATATATTACAAACTAGTTCACAACATTATTAAATGCTTATCCTGGATACAGTGAAAATGTGCTGGATTAAAATATTAAGCTTAATAATAAAGAATGTTACAGCACGAGATTCCTTACCAAAGCTGTAAGAAACCCACACTTAATCCCATCACTTGTCAGTAGGTAGCATTCTCCTTACCTGTCGCACTCAACTAGCGGGTTAAAACAATAACAACGGTAAGTTTGTGACAAATTAAAAACAAAGTAGCATCTTCTTATTCTTCTTCTTCCAAAGACCAGTTACCGTTTAAATGAAACACAGTCTCTCTCTAGCAGGTTGGCTGAGTATGTGGCGCGTTTTCACAATCACAGCATCCCAGCACCGCCCTCTATATATATAGGCACGCACACACACCTAGCACGTGATTCTCTCCACAGAGGGCACACACACCCACCCCCCACTGCAGAGTAAATGTTGAAGTCGCCACCACAGAGAACAACACTCAACTTGACTTCTGGGAATCTCAGAAAGGCCGGGCGACGACATCAGATATCATGCGCGGCCCTAACAGGAATAGGATTAGCACGGTTAGCTGCATGCCGTGCGAAAGAAATTCAACATTTAGGTACAGCAGCGAAGGTCAAGAGGTCATCGTGGTCAATGCCGCTGATGCCACCACATGTTGCCAAGGCGTCTTTCTTGCTCTTACATCCCATAGACCTTCAAGGTCTGCTCTTACAGTCTCCCACCATCTGGATCCTGGCCTTACAACGCAGTTACCCATCACGAAGCCGCACACAACGGCCTGTGCCTGAGTGCATCTGCAATGCTTCTATTGTGAGCTGCGTACCCTGTACTTCCATGAACTGGCCAGTATCCTCCATATGCTTAATTCGGTTCCGATTAGTTTCCCGAAAGAATCTCCCAAGCACGTGGCGCGAAACGTCGGACGTGCCGAACCACGCACGGTAAGGCGGGCAGACGCATCGGAGGGCCTAGGCAGCAACACTCGGCAGGCGATTTGCTTGCCAGATCGTTCGGGATGGAGACAGCGGTGGGATTTTTGCCAGAAGCGTGATGGAGACCCGTAAACATTTGCTCACTTATACATTCTGCTCGCGCGTCATGTGTGGTGGTGACTCCACACGTTTGGAGCCGCAGATGAGAACCCCTTTGCGTGAACAGTTCGGGCTGCAAGTATGTATCACGTGGCGGTAGCCGATCGATGTTGATTCATAATTCAATCACCGATGATCAACATCACCCTGGAATGGTGCACGATCTCGTCAGATGTGGGCGGTCACGTGGCCCCGCCGAGTAGCACGTGCGCCGTTTGATGCAGACGATCGCGGTTCTAATACAGCAGGCCGCCCTGGTTATTACTGCAAGTGTATTAACCGTAAAATACGCGCCGTCTGCTTCACGGTACGTATGTATGTTGAATTTCTTTCCCACCGTACGTAGCCGACTGTGCTAGTGGACGTTAAATATTCCCCGAAGTCATTGTGCTGGCATGATGGTAAAACATTGTCTACATTCGAAAAATTGCATTCAAATTACTCGGTTGGAATGACACGTAGCAACCATCACATTACACGTAGCAACAATCACCCACGACTAGGAATGCTGCACACCGTGTCTGTGTAACAGAGCGCCTGCACGATAGCCTAGCATTATAATAATCATGCGACTACCAAACGCACTAATGTTATTGTTAAAAGATGAACAGCCTTGAGGCCGGTTCGTGTTTGGATGCGAGGCTGCCTGGGAGTCCCACGGTGTTGTCGGCTTGGCCAGCAAGGTGGCCACAGAATGGCAGCACGGCCATGAATTCTTAAATATTCACTAAAAGTGCTGTTGCCAAACTCCCCACACGCCAAACATTCATCAGCGGATTCGGACAAATATTCCCAGCGAGGCTTATTAGGGTACAGTCCCGCAAGATGTCTTATTGTTCATGTTACTAAACCTTGCCTTGTACAATTATATTGACAAGGCAGTCCGCTTAGTTGCGGTAACTTAATGTTTGCACAAAAAACTCAACACATTCGTCAACACTGCCCTAAAAGTAAACACGTTGAGTAGTTGTGTTTGGGCGCCACCCTCCACACACAATCACAGGCCGACGATCGGTCGGACGCGCATGAGTCGTAGGAGGCGTTCGCCACCAATATTATCCACACTAGAGCAGGCGTGTTTGGGGTAGATCGTGTAAATATAAATGTGTCGTTAAAACCCGCCACCACCCGACACAGACAATTAGTGAGGTTTGTCACGTGAACAGAACGTGCCAATTCGTTACTGGGAACAGCGGCTGTGTGTAGTCACAGTAAAGCCACGACAGCATTTTCTCACTCTGGCGAATTGCCCGATGATGCTGGATGTAATTACCAGCGAAACGTCGAACTACTCAAACTGCAAATGTTGTGGATTCACTCTTCAACACACCGGTGGGCTAAAGTAGTGAACTATTTTGTCTTTTGTCAACGTGACACTTTTTTTGCTGATTGGCCGTGTCGGGTGGTGGAGGGTTACGACACATTTATAAATAACGCGATCTAACCCAAAAACCTTTATTATGAATTTTCTCTTCAAGTAGTCTGACGTTTCGCCGGCAATTACAAACATCACATGGGGGAGCCGTTCTCAGTAGATCGCCCGGGTAGCCGCACACACAAACCCCCGGGGTTCGAGTCGCCCCTCGCTGTTTTTCTGTATTCATTTGAAGTGACAAGTTTCGACCAGAAAGAGAACTCCATGGCGATGCGGTGCTTTTGAAGAAAATCAATAAAACGACGACAACACAAACATCTCCCCCCACTCGTGGAGCCCGTGGCTCGTGACGGAGCGGGCAGGGCTCTCTATCCATTGTCCTCGTGTCGATGTTTTTCTCACACAGGGCACGCAAACACTGCGGCTTTATTTGATTAAGTTCTCCTACCACAACCAAGTTTTTCCACTGCGCACGGACTACTGCTTTTTGTTTATTCCGTGACGTTGCCACCTGCCAGGCGATGTTTATTTTTTGTTGAAGACGCGACAGCGGTGACTAAACAACAACGCAAAAACTTCGAATGATTACTAACCGCACCTTCATTGAATTTAAGACTTCGTTTATGTTCATTAATTTGATGTCATTTTTATTTTATCTGCTAACGCTTCATCTGTATCCGCTGGATTATTTGTATCAATCAGAAATATTAGTTTAGTTTTGTTATTAATAATTAGATACACGTCTAACGGTCTGTCTCACTATTTCATATATATACAAGATCGTAGCTAATCAGCCTCTGGGTTTAATAGACAAATCGGCACTGGGTAGGTCAGTGGTTCTTAACCTTCACATAAGAGTTTGATGAAACAAAGTAGTTGTGTACTTAGGTGCTTAATTTGTTTCGATTATTTACTTTTTAAAAAAAAATCTGGCCATGTCTCGCACCCCCAGAAAGGACATCTCGCCCCAACAGGGGGTGCATGAACCCCAGGTCAAGAACCACTGGCCTAGAGGTTATTCGCGGATGTGCAGCACAGCTCCCCTGTGTGGTTTCGGATCGAACCCGCGAGTCATTCGGCGCGATGTCCAACGTTTCGCGTGTCTCACAGACAAGTGCTTTTGTTGTTTTCCCAGCAGTATTTCCCGAAGCGGGCAAGCTTTTGATTCGTCTCAGTCTCATCCCAAGAGGCCTATTGATCAAACGCAGTTGCGTTTAACTGGATGTGGTCGCGCAAGGACTCGCCACAAATGCCATAGGCAGGGCTGATTGCCGGGCGAACCTCTGGGAATCCCACCAGGGTGGCGGGGTATCGGTCTCAAAAAATGCCACGCAGTGGGATGAGACGTCTCAAGTGCATCTTTACCCCCATGCCCTCCCCTCTATTTCCGCCCTTTGGCAACCACTGATGTCACCAGCCCCGAACATCACCACTGACTGTGAACTAATGGACAGAAATCTTAATTTGTCTAATTTTAATTATCGTGTGCTGAGACAGCGCGCGCCCCACCGCAGGTGCGCGTGCCCCACCGCCGTCCTATAGGATAAAGAAGGCGATGGCAGCGGCGAACATGAGCACGCACGCCAGCACGCAGATGGTGATGAAGAGCACCCCGCTCGTGTCGTCCGACCTCACGCCGTCGAGCGTGGGGGCGGCCGGGGGCGCGGGCCCGCGGGGTGCCGCCGTCTCGGGCTGCTCCACGGTGGCGCGGAGCCGAGCGAGGCAGCGCACGGGCAGCCACTGCTCCTGCTCCGAGCCCGCCAGGCTCAGGGTCACTCTCACCACGTTGCTGTGCTGCACGGTTTGGTGGGCGCCGAGTTTGTCCGTCGCAACGGAGGGGTGCTGCGAAGGAAATTCGGTGGTGGCAAGAACGAAAGCGGAGGGGGAAATATTGCAAGTAGTAAATGTCGTTCTTATAATCCAAATAATAAAATCAATAACAAAGGTTTTTGGGTTAGATCGCGTAAGAATAAATGTGTTGGTATTACCTTTGAATTTCTGCACCTTTTGATGAATGCCAGTGAAGACATCAATTTACACGCTTCATGCGGAGTTTCTCCAATTTAATAGTTTTAAGAAAAGTATCCTCCCCGTAGAGGTTCGCCAGTTGAACACGTAGCAGGCTTTCGCGACCAATATCATTCATAACAAAGGTTTTTGGGTAAGGTGCAGAGATTCAAAGTTAATACCAAAACATTTATACTAATGCGATCTAACCCAAAAATCTTCATTATGAATAATATTGGTCGCGAAAAACCAAAATATAAAAGTGGATCTGATAATAAAACGCTTGTTTCTCAAGGTGGCTTCTTCTGGGATGATGTTAAGATCTTGGCTTTGGCTTCATGCACCCAAGGCCTCGGATAATAATTATCGTTCTCACGGCAAACCTATGAAGCATTCACTCATCCATTGTTCTTTGTCGAATATAGAGATGCATCATTAAAGGGAGCCTACAACAATGGAATACACTTCAAGTGTATGAGCAATAGAATGCATTCTTACACAAAAGTAAATACAATATAACACAAATATTCAGACGGTACATCAGTGTATTCAAATAGCGAAACACTTGTGTATTTTCGACACTTCACTAAACTATACAAATAATTGCGTAGGAGTTTGTGATGTCTTTTTAGTTCCCCAAAGAAGCTCCCAGCACGCGGCGCGAAACGTCGGACACGGCGCCGAACAACACCACGCGAGCCAGACATGAGCACGAATGCCCTCGGCGGCAACGCCAAGCGAACGCAAGAGCGACGTAGGAGAGGAATTTGGATGAAGCCCTAAGAGCCATCGCAGCTGACACCCTGCTCCTCTGTCTAACCGTTGACTTCTCAACAACAACAACAGACGACGAGAGGCGATGACGATCGATGCAAGTCACGAATGCAACGCGTGGTGAGCCACGCGGCCTGGGCGCCCCGACCTGCACCGAGGCGAGTGTCGTGCGGCAGGCGCTGTAGTTGGCCTCGATCCTGAGCGTGGAGCCCGAGGGAGCGGACGAGCAAGCGGGGTCCCTGAGGCGGGCCGACAGGAGGCGCACCCCGGCCGGGAGCTCCGTGGGCAGCGTCGCCCTGAAGCCGCTCTCGCCGCAGGCCACCGTCATGGGCACCACTGACAAAGGCAAAGATCCCAACCCCACCCCCGTATAGCCTCAACAGACGTTTGGGGCAAGTGCCGTGAGCGAGCGGCACCTGCGGAGGCCGGCACGGCACACGAGGGGGGTGGGTGGCCAGCACCACGCCCGGCCGACTTTGTCTACCCAGTGGCGATGTTTTTTTACACACCGCACCAGATACTCATTTGAGGCTGAGTCGACCTAGGGGAGGACCAGACCACACGCGGCTACCTATCTGGTGGACGCCAGTGTCGTGATCCACATTTTTCAGAGCTGGGGAATTCCTGAATAAATATCAACAACAACAACAACCACAATAACTGTTGCTGCGTGTATGTTGGTTTGCTCCGTCTCCTTTGAGAAGGGGTCACCTGCAGCACATTTTCATTCGTCTTCCAGAAAACGCTCAAAGTGCACATCAAGCAGCCCCTCTCACCAGCCGTGTAGGAGAGTGAAAACCCTCGCAGGGCCTCGGAGGAGTCTGTGTGCATCGTGATGAGCAGCTTGCTCGAGGTCGACGTCGTCGCTGGTGGCATCCTCGAGCCGCAGAACCGTCCGAGAGACGAATTCTCGTTCTCCGTCTCACCGTCGAACAGCGCCACCTGGTCATAGCTGACTCCAGACGAACATTCAACGAACAGCGCCACCTGGTCATAGCTGACTCCAGACGAACATTCAACGAAGAGCGTCACCTGGTCATAGCTGACTCCAGACGAACATTCAACGAACAGCGCCACCTGGTCATAGCTGACTCCAGACGAACATTCAACGAAGAGCGTCACCTGGTCATAGCTGACTCCAGATGAACATTCAACGAAGAGCGCCACCTGGTCATAGCTGACTCCAGACGAACATTCAACGAAGAGCGTCACCTGGTCATAGCTGACTCCAGACGAACATTCAACGAAGAGCGTCACCTGGTCATAGCTGACTCCAGATGAACATTCAACGAAGAGCGTCACCTGGTCATAGCTGACTCCAGACGAACATTCAACGAACAGCGCCACCTGGTCATAGCTGACTCCAGACGAACATTCAACGAAGAGCGTCACCTGATCATAGCTGACTCCAGACGAACATTCAACGAAGAGCGTCACCTGGCCATAGCTAACTCCAGACGAACATTCAACGAAGAGCGTCACCTGGTCATAGCTGACTCCAGACGAACATTCAACGAACAGCATCACCTGGTCATAACTGACTCCAGACGAACATTCCACGAACAACGCCACCTGGCCATAGCTGACTCCAGATGAACATTCAACGAACAGCGCCACCTGGTCATAGCTGACTCCAGATGAACATTCAACGAACAGCGTCACCTGGTCATAACTGACTCCAGATGAACATTCAACGAACAGCGTCACCTGGTCATAGCTGACTCCAGATGAACATTCAACGAACAGCGCCACATGGTCATAGCTGACTCCAGATGAACATTCAACGAACAGCGCCACCTGGCCATAGCTGACTTCAGACGAACATTCAACGAAGAGCGTCACCTGGTCATAGCTGACTCCAGACGAACATTCAACGAACAGCATCACCTGGTCATAGCTGACTCCAGATGAACATTCAACGAACAGCGTCACCTGGTCATAGCTGACTCCAGACGAACATTCAACGAACAGCGCCACCTGGTCATAGCTGAATCCAGACGAACATTCAACTACAGCCAGTCCATCGCATCGGGCTGCCACCTCGACTCAGAATAGCAGAAGAGGGGAGAACTGCATGAACCTCCGATGAGCACGGTTGTCTACGTACGGTGCGAAAAAAGTTCAACATACGTACATGCAACGCATTGTCTTGAGTG